AGGGGGGCTTACAGCGTGCCTATCTTACCTTGACTTCTTTGCAACCAGCACGCAGCGAACGGCTGTGACCACTGCGGCCAATTGCTGTCGGAACATTCCCGACGACTCGTTCCCTGTGGTTAAAGATGTTATGCCAACCCTCCTGAATGTCCTTAACAGTAACGACCAACGAGTTGTGGAGCAAGCTTCCTTGTGTGTTTCTGGTATCGCCGAAAGCTTCAAGTATCACCCATCGAAGCTCGAAGAGTTGATCAGCGTTGACCTTCTGCGCGCAATATTACGCCTTCTTGTCCCGGGGACGACCAATCTCATTGGACCCAATATCCATACTCAGTTCCTCCGTGTACTAGCCTTCACCGCCAGGGCCAGCCCTCGGCTCTCTTCTGAGCTGTTCAAGTTAAACGTGGTGGAGACGCTTTATCAGATTTTGACGGGCGTCTCTCCTCCAACAGGGACCGAAGATGTAGCATCTAAGCTGGATAGCGTGATTGTCATGCAGGCGCTTATTCATCGGCCTCGCGAGCAGATTGTGGAAGCTCTCAATGTCATATGCGAGCTGCTTCCGGGTTTGCCTCGCAATGCAGGGGTTGCTGTGGGAGACTTCATGGAGTTGCACGATGCGATTGAGCCGATTACGCCGTCATCCTTGAGCGGCAGAAGCAATCCGAATCACAACGACCGCCGACTTGAACTGTTGGAGGATTGCAAGGACCAAGTTCGCCGTTTCGTGCTCATCATATTCCCGACATTAACGGATGCCTTCTCCAGCACAATCAACCTGAACGTGCGCCAGAAAGTCTTGACTGCCCAGATAAAGATGCTCTCCAACTTGGACGAGAGCCTACTTGCGGAGGCATTGGCACCAGTACCTTATGCATCCTTTTTGGCTTCAATTTTGTCACAAGAAGATCATCCTTCGCTGGTTATTTTAGGTCTTCAAGCGACTGAGTTACTCCTTACTCGCCTTGACAGCGTTTATCGATACCAGCTTTATCGCGAGGGCGTGATATTTGAGATACAAAAATTAGCCTTGGATGATGGCCAGCCCAGCATAAAGGAGGATCCTTCCAAATTGAAAAATGGGTCTCGAAGGTTGAGCTTGCCTGATGCTGGCGATAGTAGCGCGCCGTCATCAGATCATGAATCCGACGACAATGACAATGAAGACGAAGAGGCTGAGGACGAAGGCGCTGCTCATGAGCACCACTCTTCTGGTGGCGATGATGAGGATGTCGACAACGAGCTCAACGCTAGTGACGCATCGCCAGCCAGTTCTCGTGGCTCATCAATGTCCTTGGATGCCGCATCTCTTCCTTACGTCTCCAATGTTCAACTAATGAAGTCCCGTATCGTCGCCATCGCCAAAAAATTCCTAGAGGCCCACGAGAAAGACGGTCGCAGCCAAGACATGCGAACGCAGGCCACACAGATACTCGAAACTTTATCTCATCTAGCAGACGAGCTCGAGGCCTTCTATTTGACTCGCACATCCAAAACATTGTCTCCGGAAACTGGACGAATGCTCTTTACAAAGCTTTCGTCGTACTTTGACTCCGATATCCTGGAAAGCATTACTAGCGCAGAGCTCCTGGCCTCTGGCATGGTAAGGGTGCTCCTCGCAGTTTTCAGCAATCCCGACGAAGCGCTGGCGCACTCTGCTCAGGCAAGCTTCTTGGAAGTATTCATGAGTCCCCCAACAAAATCTAGATCTAGAACTGGCATCATTGAATCACAAGCCACGCCATTTAGTGTGCTGATTCATAAGCTACAAGATCTGCTCAGTAGGTCAGAGCATTTTGAAGTTATCACAGTTCATCAAAACAGCTTTGAGGGCAATCGCAGCAGTCCGGCCTCAATGCTGGGCAAGCAACTTAAACTGAGGCTCGTCGCGGACGATGAATTATCGATTCCGCGCCCCTATCGAAACATCATGGTGTCCATTCACGCAATTGCTACGTTCAAGTCTCTGGACGATTATCTTCGCCCAAGAATTAGCTTAGCAGAGCGGCCAAGGATCTCCCGAAGGGATGGACTTTCTAGGGCTCTTGCGGCTATAGCCAGCTCTGGCTTATCCCAGAATCTTACAGCAGGCGCCGGTCCAACTGAGCAGCCTCCCGCTCTGCCGGGGACTACGCAACAGCCACCCTTGCCACCGACATCTTCTGCGTCTTCGGGTTCTAGATTCTCTGGAAACATCAACAGTAAATCAGCCGAGATGTCTGGCGCGCCACCACTTGCCGGACCCTCTAACGACAAAGGATCCTTACGGCGGTCTTCCAGGCTCTTCAGATCACCAGCAGATGTAACAACTCCCCCGACTCGTCCTCCCGATGAAGACAAGGCGCCGCAGCCTACCTTGGAGTGTGCAGACGAGAAGCAGCTCACCGATGACGATGACGATGACGCTGGTGATAGTACTGCTCTTGATGCCATTGTCGGTGAGCTCGACGAAGACATTGGGGAGAAAGGAGAGGCAGATACTTCTGCCGTCAATCTGGAAGTCGCTGCTGAGAACACTATTTTGACTCGAAAAGATGATAACTCTAGAGTTGCGACACCACCGGGAGCAAATCTTCATGGCTACGATCGAGTACTGTATAGGAACAGTGCTCATGCAGCACCCCACCCTTCATCACGGCATGCTTCTTACGCCTCTATACTTCAGACTATCCCCCAAGATTGGCATATTGAGTTTACTCTAGATGGCAAGGTTATTCCGAACGAGACAACCATTTACCGCGCCGTTCACATGTCGACATCTTCTGCGAATGACCACGGTAATAAAAACATATGGTCTTCGACACATCCCATCAAGTTTCGAAGAGTTTCTGGGCAGCCCCCTGCAGAGTCCAGGACGACTAGCTTCAACGCCGAAGTTGATGGAGAAATAGATAAAGGGATGGCGGCTTCACTGGCGAAGCATCCAATCACTGCTTCCATCTTGAAACTTCTCAACATCCTTCACGATCTCAATGCCAACATAGAAGATGTTTTGGTCGAGAATCGGAATAGCCTCATTGGCCTGCGCGTTGAGCCATTATCGCAGTTTGTAAACACAAAGCTTACGGCCAAGCTCAATCGTCAGCTCGAGGAGCCACTGATCGTCGCAAGCAGCTGCTTGCCAAGCTGGTCTGAAGACCTAGCACGCCTTTACCCCTTTTTATTCCCCTTTGAGACGCGACATCTCTTCCTCCAATCGACATCCTTTGGATATGCTAGGTCAATGGCTCGTTGGCAGAATGCGCACTCTACGGATGATAACCGGCGAGACCGCTCCAACGAGCGGCCATTCTTGGGCCGCCTCCAGCGCCAAAAGGTGCGAATTTCCCGACTTAAGATTCTCGAATCCGCTTTGAAAGTTATGGAACTGTACGGCGCTTCTCAAAGCATACTAGAGGTGGAGTATTTCGAGGAAGTGGGCACTGGCTTGGGCCCAACTCTTGAATTCTACTCAACAGTGTCGAAGGAATTCTCCAAGAAGAAGCTCAAGCTTTGGCGTGAAGTCGACTCTGCTGGGTCGGACGAGTTTGTGAGCGGCCAGACAGGACTGTTCCCTCGCCCACTCAGTGCTGAGGAGGCGACTACACCGAATGGAGAGCGCATTCTTCACATGTTTAAAGCTCTCGGAAAATTTGTGGCTCGGTCAATGATTGACTCTCGTATCATTGATATCCATTTGAACCCCATCTTTTTCAGAATCGGAGATGCCTCTTTGACTGGTGTTAAGCCATCTCTAGGAGCAGTCAAGGTTGTCGATCCTGGTCTTGCTCGCTCACTCATTACGATCAAAAAGTTCGTGCTGGCCAAGAAGGAAATTGACGAAGACCCAGCCCGCACGCCTGCGCAGAAAGTGGCAGATACTGAGGGAATTATGATTGACAATATGAGGCTAGAGGACCTCTGTCTCGATTTTACCCTGCCTGGCTATCCAGATATTGAGCTCCAAGAGCACGGCTCTCTAAAGCGAGTCACCATTGAGAATGTTGATTTATACTTGGAAAAGGTCATTGACATGACTCTGGGATCTGGCGTCAAACGTCAGATTGATGCCTTCCGCACTGGCTTCTCGCAAGTTTTCCCCTACACGGCACTGAGAGCCTTTACGCCAGACGAATTGGTCTCGTTGTTTGGCCGAGTAGAAGAGGACTGGAGTCTTGAGAGTGAGTTTACTCTTGGAATATCTTATGGAAATGAGCATAGCTGACTTTATTAATCTAGCCCTCATGGATTCGATAAAGGCCGACCATGGCTACAACATGGACAGCCGAAGCGTCAAGAACTTGCTGCAGACTATGAGCGAACTTGATCTCAAACAACGACGAGATTTCCTACAGTTTACCACGGGCAGCCCAAAGCTTCCCATTGGCGGTAAGTATTTCCATAGTCGTGGGATATATCTAAACATGTGCTTACTGTATACCAGGGTTTAAAAGTTTAACTCCGATGTTTACTGTTGTTTGTAAACCCAGCGAGCCTCCGTACACTTCAGACGCTTACCTTCCGAGCGTCATGACGTGCGTGAATTATCTAAAGCTTCCAGATTATACTACCATGGATATCCTCAAAAAGCAGTTGTACACTGCAATCAGGGAAGGGCAGGGAGCGTTTCATTTGTCATGAGCTGCTGACAGTTGAGTCGTGGAACTTGATGCAGCATGATGGAATAAAAGCATAGGTGGTTAGTTACTTAGACGGCGTGGTTGGACGGATCAGTCTATTAATACCGAATAGTATATTGCGAATGATGAAAAATGTATTAAATGTATGGAATTGGGCGGAGAGCTTTTTGCAAAGTGATAAAAGGCCTCAAGGAAGGAATGCACATGTAATGGTAGCGAAAAGCAGGAAATATTTCCAGCACACAGAGGAATGGGGGTTTGGTCAGAGCAATCACATTGCCGAACCCGCGGTAAAACTACAGACTTGAACGTTTAATTGAGTACATTATCATGATCCAATCCATTTCGTGTGGCTATTCAAATTCCAATCTATCAAGGCTGTCAAACATCATCGCTAAGTAGACTGTCGGAGAGCATCTGACTCTTTGTCAACAGTGGAGAGGAGTCAAAGACGGCATTTGCTGGGATAGTGACCAAAGAGCTTCCGTGGTCTTGAAACAGCAAACTGCTTGGTTGGCCAGTATCATGATTCGTCGAGCGGCTTTGAGAATGGGACGCTGGATGTAAAGGCATACTGGACTCGGGCGAGCGCCAATCTAAAGCCTCGACGGTGTTCTTCTCTTGGGTATTTTCAGCGTCGTTCTCTTGTTCGGTACGGTCAAACGTTGCGCATCGGAGATTCCATAGGAGTTGTCCCACTATGGCTGGGGGGAGGTAAATATATCGTCGGACCTGTCCGGTGACCCATCCTTCCTCTTGCATATCGCGCTCCTCTACTGGGTTGTTGAGCTCGTATACTTGATCGACGTGGTAGTCCCAGTTAGGGCCGCTGGGCTCGCCGGGCTGCACGCAGGCCATGTAACGCAAGGTTTCTTGGTCCAGCAACCAGAACCGCGCGACTAGTTCAGGTATTCGGTAGGGTAGATGGAGAAGTGGCGTGGAACCATCGACGAGGGAGGAGAGAACTTTGGAAGGGACGGGGAGGAGGATATCTGTGCGTGCGGATACGGGGGTGAATGACTGGAGGATGTGAAGGGGGACGCGCTGAGACTCGAAGAATTGACTGTGTGGTCTTTGACTGAGATCTGTTGAGTGATGAGACTCGGATGTAGCGTTTGGTGATTGTGAGATGGTGGGGGATTGTAATGATGTTTTCGTTGTTGGTAGAGGATCGGTACTCTCTATTGGAGGAGCCGGCTTGTTGTTTGAAGAGCCTCCGGATGAAGTGATTATAGATGAATGTAGTGTTGATGCCAATACTTGGCTAGTTACTGCACTTGGCTCCTGTTCTCGTTGCTCCTCGTTTCGTTCTGGATATTCCAACGACGCAAGCTCCTCCAAGACAAGCTGAGTTTCGTGGCCCGTCGCAAACGTGTCTTGAAGTACTACTTCATCCTCTTCTAGCACCTCCAGCTCTTCATATTCCTCATCAGAGTCTGGAATCTCCCGGTCATCCACATCCTTGGTCAAAAAGCGGACTCGTGTTGGAGACGGCATGTCATCTTCTTGAGATGGCTTGAGTCTTTTCGAACCCTCTGGATTGCTACTCCAGTGGGCACGACGACGTGGTGAAGCCTTGACGACGTCCTGTGGTTCCATGAATCTCACGCGGCTGGGAGATAGTACTAATGTGTCTCGTAGTTTTATAGGCTGGATCTTTAAGGGCGAGGCTTGGGTCGACAAGTTGTCATCTGGAGAGGCATAAGAGTCCTGAATGACCTGCGAGCCTCTTATTATTTCCTCCTCCTCCTTCTCGCCCTTCTCGCCCTTCGGCTGAGCTTCCGAAGAGCCTTTTGAGAGAATATCCGGCTTGTTTGCGCCAGAAAGCGACGTATCTGACTCATCGTCACTATCCGAAAGCGTGACCTCTTCGCTAAACGATGAGACAAAGTCCATCTGCGTCAGCGTCTGCTGCTTCAATGACGCGTTCTTCTCCCGGCTCTGAGCTGCCTTGCCCTTGCCCTTGCCCTTGCCCTGCTCACGACGAACTTTGCTGCGTCTCATGGGGAAACGGACTTGCTTGACGGAGGGCGTCGAGCGGTATGTTTTGCCTTGCGGCGGAGCAGCATCGCTTGATTGAGAATCCGGGATCATGATGATGATGATTCACCAGAACTGAATGTGTGAGGCCGAGTCATTCATTCATTCAATCATCGGCGAGAAAAGAGTAGCCGGTAGTAGAATAACGGTAATTAATGAATGTTTTGATGTATAACTTCAATATACTTTTGCGGAGAGCGTGCCTAGGCAATACCCAAAGCTAGCTCCCTGATGTGAAGAGATTAGCAAAAGTCATTGGATGTAATAGCATGAAGACGCGTGACTGGAGACGCGTGAGCAGAAAATGAAAACTCGATGGGCTGGCAATCTGGGTAGCCAACGATTTGCTTGATAAAAGAGAGCGTTAAGAAATGAGATTGTGAGAGAGTGACGAAGAGAGAGAGTGAGTATGAAAGAGGAGAAAGAAGGTGAGTGGGTGAATGTTATAGCACAATTGCCATAGCGTCTTGTTTGTTCCCTTGCCTGACCCTCGAATTGATCTTTGGGAAACCGCCTCGGCGCGCTTGATTCACCTCTTGAGGGTCGGTATTCACACGACACGCTTAGACGCACTTTGTAAATATCTGGAATAGTGCAGTGCAGTGCAGTATGATATACTAGTATGGGTGATATAATATTGCTACTGAATTAATTAGACACTTTACTGTAAGCATCCAAACGACCCACTTGAGCCTGTTATTACAGGTATCACTTTAACCAAGACAGAGACTATACAGTACAATATTTAATTGTTCAAAAGCTGTAAATTATTATATATCCCAAGCAGCTAGCTATTATATCCCTCGTAGCGTGAGCTTTTGATATTTTATGCTACCTAGCCTAGTACCTTATCTATACGACTTTGTTTTGACTCCATCTATATGTACCCATTTTTGCTTCATATTTACACACATATTATATGCTAGAAATGACAAGGGGGAACAAGGAATAAAAAAACAAGTAAAATAAAAAAACAAACAAGACAGCAATGATGCATCTAATCCAAACAGAACTTTCTTATAAACTTCGACTCTCCTCGGCGGTCGGTTTTAGATCTGTCAGGAAATCACGCGTAACCTCAAAGCTCAGCCAACTTGAAGCCATGCTGGGGGCCACTTTGAGCAGGTTGGGGACGATGCCCTTGTATAGCCCCTTGACGCCCTCTTGGAGGACAATGACGCGGACGGCGTCTGATATGGATTTGTACTGGTATCCCATGCCTGACATGGTGTTGATCTGGAAACGCCTTCGTAGTACGTCGCTGTGTATAGACGGTAAGCATGAGAATCAATCACAGAGCAAAGGCCACCACTTACAATGGATAGGTACACGTCTGAGCAACTGCGCCGGAAATGGCACCCGCCAACAGTTTGCGTACAGCACTAGGGTTCTGCTCGCCTTCAGGCGTGAATGCCTGGCGAATTGACTCATACACCATGAAGTTGAGACCAACCTATCGACTTGTCAGCGTCCGACTTCCTTCAATATACTCCAGCATGATGTGATGGAGCGAGAGGCAGCAAGACATACATAGGGAGCAACCCCAGCCACAGTTGGGACAATGCCGCGATACAACGCCGACATGCCACCTTCTGTCTTGTACATTGAGACAAGAGTCGCCCACATCCCCGGCAGTTTGCCCGTCCTCGTTCCTAGCTCTGCAAAGCTCGCTGACTGGATGGATAAGCGCGTTCGGACAATGTCGAGCGGATAGGTGAAGACGACGGAGGTTATGCCCGCAAGGCCACCACAGACGAGGCGGGCAAAGGGGCTTAAGTCAGTTCCTAGATATGGCTCGAAGATGTTCTGATCACGCCGCGTGGTTAGCCTTCCAGGATCTACAACGAGTGCGAATAGTATGCTGCTGCTTCAGCCAAGGGAGTGAAACAGTACCTTTTTGTAAAAGTTGTAACTGCTGAACTGGACAGCAGAGTAGGGGACAATGCGGATGCAGTTTGTCCCGTTTCCTCGCATGAAGCCCCTCCACCCTTCCTCCCTCCACATCTTCCCCAGTGCCTGGCCGACAGACAACTTGTACGCATCTCGCCCGGCACTCTGAATCTGCATCAGGATCTTGAGTCTCTCCAGCGGCGACACCACCGTCCGGGAGACAGCGCCGGCCACACCTCCACCGCAGAAGGCGGCGACCACTGGCTGCGAGATGGTTTCCCTAAATTGCAAATTCCAATTGGTGCCAGTCGAAGGCTTGAGCGCGTCGGGTACGGACTATCGAGAATCAAATCAATTAGCAATCGAAAAGCCACATACGAAGTGGTAATTAGTGAAAGGCACTGCGTACAGCTGACATGATGGCGGGAGACTCAATTGAGTCAAAGGCTCTCTCGACTCGATCTCTAATCTAAGTAGCGTTTCAACTTCTTCAAGGGTTGCTTTAAGCCGATCTCTGCCAAAGCGACAGCATTGGTTGACGGCCCACGCAGCGTCGCTTGGGTTTAGAATATCTTTCGGTCGTATTTGATCGCTGCCGACGAATGGGTGTAAATGAGCGACTTGGGAACCGGAAACGCAGGGGGCATGCTTCGTCAAGGAAATCGTCGGAAACTGGTGATGCAAGTTTGAAGATGGCGTGTGCCTTGCTTTCAAAGGGTCGCTGTCGGTCCGTCGCCCCTCGGTTCAACTTCAACCCCGTTGCAAGTAAAGCAAGTTGTCGCGACGGATGAAAAAGTAAAAAAGTAAATAGGCGGCAGCAATGGCCCCTTTTCGAAACCTCGGAGAAACGGAAAACTCTTGAATTGGAGCAAAACGAAACCCAAAGATGCAGCTTGAAAAAGGATCAACAGAACCAGAACGGGCTGGATTATGTGTTGGCGCTTGTGTGCCTTGACTTCGGGTTATCGTCGGTTCTGGTACGAATTAAAAGCGGATGGAATGGCTATGCCAAGTTGCTCCGTGTATAGCCCGCCAATCACGTACTTTTCGCTGCTGATGACGGGCAATAGCGGCATGGAGGCACAGTAACGTGATGGATCCAAATGCAGCGGTTTGGACAATGAATTCTATATACACGGACAAGTCCAGTGCAATTATAACATTATAACTATAACATACAGTTGATTCAACTACTCTATCCGCCTTCATCTACAACTTTTCCAACTCCCCCACAATAATCCGGGCGGCTTATCGATAATGGCACTCAGCTTCACGTGCTGCTACAATACCACCCAAACACCTCTTGTAGCTCTACTCTTACAGCGCGACAACCCAGCAGCTGAGCTCCTCTTCAGATCCCATCACCACCCAACTACAAATTCTCTACACCACTACCAACTCACCCCGTTACACTCGCCATATCCAATCCTCGCCTCTTGCTAGCCGAAAGCTCATCATGTCCGACACAGTGTCGCGTAAACGCAGCGTCTCTGCTGCCACCCCCGATTCAGATCCAAAGCGCCCGAGACTTGCGTCGCAAGATGGCCAAGAGCAGCAACCTGAAACGAATCAAGCTCAGATACAGCAGGATGCTCTGTCAGAATGGGCAGACGAGGAATCTACGTCGGCAGTGGCTTCCATGTCTCCAACCGTGCACCAGTTTGCCCGGACTGGTATTCAGCGATCCATTGCCATGGTGTTGTCGCATGATGGGTTTGAATCTGCCAGTCCCGAGGCGCTGGAGAGCTTCACAGAATTGGTTGAACAGTGTATGACTCAACTCCTGTATGATACCAATCCGTTCCTTTCCGCTAACGCGCCCTTCTTCATAGATATGAGCTCCATCATCCAGGAAGTCAAGCGACTCGCAATATCGTCACGTCGCGAAGCTCCCATCCCGTCAGACTTTGAGAGCATGCTAAAATACCACAACATCCCGCTCTCATCTCTAAAACCGCATGTCAAAAGCAGAGTTTTCAATCAAAATGCGACCGACCGGGGCCTTGCGGTCGTAACCGCCGACGACACATTTACCTCTCTCCCGCTTCTCGGCGTCGAGCTCAGCGGCCAGGCGGACAAGGACAGCAAACCATACATACCAGCATCTTTCCCCGGATTCCCCAGCACACACACATACAGATTCACACCGCAAGAGGATAAAAGGACGAAGGATTCTAAGCAAATCAGAGAGGACGCGGCGAAGAGCGCGCAGCTAGGCGAGGATGCTTTGCGAAGGCTCGTGCGCGCTTCGAAAATGCGCAAGCAAAAGGAAGTCAAGTCACTAGTCGAACGCGATAGCCAGGGCAAAGAGCGGTTCCGGCTATGGGAGTCAACTATGAAGCGGTTCATGGGGGGAGACCGGTTCAGAGAGCACGCCGACAAGGTGGACATTGCAGATCATAGCATGCTGGTCAATGCTGATGTCAAATTTTCCCGACGAGAGGTGTCTCGCCTGGGTAAGAAGTCAAACGCTTTATGATGCGTTTGAACACGTAATGATCGAAACTGGTGGACTGGAAAACTCAAAAGGCAGTCTTTATAACGGCTATTCTGCTAGTCTTTTTATATATGATACCCGCAGTGTCATTTCAGTTTAGGTAGTTATCAATAAGTATGGGAATGGATTCATACAGATAGAACAATCAAAGACATCTCACGATGCATGCATTCACGATTTCGACCCGACTGCGTTGAACAGTATGAAATTTTAGTATTCCTTTTTCCCTTGTACTCAGTAGAAACAGGAGCTAAGAACCATCTTCTTTATTAGAAGCGAATTGTGTCCAGTACCCTTTTTTCAGTATTTCTGATGCCAGCAATTCTTAACCCTCTGCCAGGTTACATTCACACACAACTGTTGCCCCCTATCTCGGTTACATCTTGAGGAAGAAGCTAACTATGCGATATGCCCTGTATTTCCACCACGTCCCAAGCCATGCTCACCCCCTCTCTCTGTCTCCCGACCTACAGACAAAAACATTTATGCCCGAGACATGACACCCCAGGCACGAATGATGTTGTCAGTGTAACCAGCGAACAGAGTCTGGCCATCAGCAGACCAGGCCAAGCTGACACACTCGGGCTCCCGGCTCTTCTTGCCAACGGAGGTGAACTCGGGCTTGAGCTCGTCAACCTTGCTCTTCTTCTCAAGGTCGAAGATGATGATGCTGCTGGCGGTGGCAGCGCACAGCCAGTATCGGTTGGGGGAGAAGACGAGGGCGTGGATCTCGTCGTTGGCGTTGAGGGAGTACAGGTGCTTGGACTCGTTGAGGTCCCAGAGCATGGTGGTACCGTCCTTGCCACCGGAGGCGCAGAGAGAGCCATCGGGGGAGATGGTGACGGTGTTGATGTAGCCGGTGTGGCCGATGTGGTCGGTCTGCAGCTTGCAGCTGGACAGCTCCCAAACCTATTGGACATTGTATGTTAGAATAAGGGCTAAACATGCCAAGTTGGGGGATATATCATGGATATGTGCTGTTTTCTTCTTCTCTCCTTCTCTCATTATAGAAAAAAGGAGGGAGAATAAAACAAATTCAGGGCAAAGTGGATAAAAAGTTTGTCTCATTGCCATTGCTGGCTCTGAAGTAGCAAATACTTGAGAAATTGCAGTACATCATAAAAAATGGCGTAATTGTCATAACGGGGGAGCGCAGAGCAAAAACAAAATCACGTACCTTGACCAACTTGTCCCAACCGCTGGAAACAATCACAGGGTTCTGGGGGTTGGGGCTGAATCGGACGCAGGAAACCCACTCAGTGTGGCCCTTGTCGGTGATGGTGTACTTGCAGTCACCGAGGGTGTTCCACAGCTTGATGGTGCGGTCACGAGAGCCGGAGACAATCTGTCGGTTGTCGGCGGAGAAGGAGACGGAGAGAACATCGTTGGTGTGGCCGACGAATCTTCGGGTGGTGGTGCCAGTGGCAAGCTCCCACAGACGGAGGGTCTTGTCCCAAGAGGCAGACAGGGCGTAGGCACCGTCAGAGGAGATGACCTGTTCAAAAACAACTGATATCAGCCCACAATCCTTTCTATTCCCAATCATCACCGGCATCTTGGGGCGGAACATACACAGTCGGACACAATGTGGGAGTGGCCGTGGAGGGATCGCTTGGGGTATCCGTATTGAGTCTCGTCGCGTGTGAGGTTCCAGATGATCAGGGTCTTGTCTCGGCTACCAGACAGGAGCATGTTGGGGCTGTTTTCCTGTTAGTTCAACGGATCGACTGTACTCGTGAGAATCGCAAGGCCATCGTACTTCTCCATTGAGGTGGCCAAGCTGGTAACCCAGCCATTCTGTATCAAAAATGTCAGTCCCTATATCGAAATTGGAGAAACGGCAGCGATGGGGGGGGAAAGTCGTACGTGGCCCTCGAGGGTACCTTTGAGGATCAGTTGTTCAGCCATTGTGTACAGCCTCGCCTCTGCGCAAAGGATTGAAGAGATGGGTGAGGAAAGAGAGTTTTAGCTGGTGAAGACCACTTCTCTTCTGCAAAGCCGAATGTTAAGCTCTCGAGGTTGGGGCTGGCTGAAATTGTGAATTTTTTGTGTGGGCGAAAAATTAGGGCCGAGCGATGCGATTGGCTGCCGCTGCTGAGTAAGGTGGGAAATCCTGGCTATCAATCCGTTATCTGCTAGTGCATTTTAGCACCACCAAATATGCAGTATGAGGGGTGCCGTTTGAAGAAGTACGTACATATCACAATATGAGCCTAGGCAAACAGACTGTTCGGATTCTAGGAGAACGAGACTATTGTAAACAATGCCTGTTGTGAAAATTATATGGGTTAATTTGAATCATTTTGTATCTGTAAATGAGAGCCCAGAAGAGGTGGGATTCATATAATTAGAGAGAAGAACAGCACTGGTGTAACCCCTCCCTCTTGACGAACCATTACTCCATTGGGCTGAGCTTCAAGGATCTGCCATTGAGTTGTCCGATGTGCAGCAGTGCTAAAGTGCTGTCCAGGTTTCTGGGTCCGGAGAATGCTACTAGTGATTCTCTGCTACTGAGAACTACCAACTTACGTATGTCCTAATAAACAAAAGGCACTCTGGAGTAAAGGGGCACTGCATTCCTTCTATATCCCATGACTTTGTACCCTAAGTAGAACAAATAATTACACAGAAGAATCACAATGCTTGATAATATGCTATGCTGTCTTTGGCGTCTTTGAAAAAAAGATGCCTTTAGTCACGCAGCTTTCGCTGTAGACGATTTCAGGGGAGGGGGGTACTGAACTCTTGACGATTAGTCGCCTTGATCAAGCTAGAAAGCTTGCGTTAACCCCCCGTTTGTGCCGTTTCAAAGGTGAAAACGGCTTGGTGCCGGTTTGCGAGTTGAAAGCGCTTGTCGCGGAGGATTTTATTCTTCTTGGTCGACCTGCCGGCGTTTCCACGGCTGGGACTCCTTCCACAGTCTCATCTTCCTCTAGTATGATATCGTTAGTCTTGTTCAGAAGTTTTCTCTTCCTCTTCTTGTGCTCAAACACAGAGCTAGGGTCAGTCGTTGCAGTTTCGTGAAGTGTTTTCCTTTTGGGAGGTGCTGTATCATCGGAGTCGACATCCTTAGATGTCGACTCGTCTTTGGGGTCTTCAGACCTCACACGTGCTATCTTCCGAACTGAAGCGGTGAGTTTGGACAAGTGGTCTTCATCCTCTGCTGTTGTAGTTGCAGTTGCAGTTGCTGTAGCAGCAGTAGTAGTTGCTTTCTTCTTTGATTTCAGCTTTTCTCGAGGCCGCAAAGGTGTCGTAGTCTCCAGTTCGGCATCTGGTGCTATTATGGGCTTGGCATCAGATGATTTGTTTGCCATCACGAGTGGTGATGCATCATCAGCTCCGGGTTGTGCAAGCACATCGTCGAGCGTCAGTCCCAGGCCGTTGGTTTCTTTGGTGGTAGTGTCTTTTATCTTGTTGAGGAGCGGCGTGATTGAAAAGGTTGATTTTTCTCCCACGGCCGCTTGCTCTATTGTGCGCTTGTTCCTGCGCGACAGCCTCTCTTTATTTGTTAGAGATTGATCTTTTGCCCGAGCTTTCGTCGTCGCTTCTTGGTTGTTACTGGTATTTCCGCCTTCTGATTCGTCCTCTTTCGAGCTAGGTTGAGGTGCCTTGAGTTCCTTCCGCACGTCGCGAAGCTCCTTTTGTGAATCTTTCAACTTCTTTTCTAGTTTTGATATTCTCTGTTCCAGCTTATCGTTCTGGCGTTCTGATTCTTCTAGCTCCTTCCGATGATTTGACTTGATGTTTTCGCGTTGCCTCTCTTCTTCAGCCAACTTTTCTGTGATTTTGTCCAAAGCTGCTCGAAGTTCGCTCATGTCTTCGCTTTCGTCGTTTGGCGTCTTAGACTTTGACTGTTTCTTGCTCGCGAGCTCCGTCTTCCGTTGTTCAGACAACATCTTTTCGTAATTCGTCACTTGCTGCTTTAAAAGCTCCATTTCTGGTCGCAACTGTTGCAGTTCCTTCGTAAGGGCCCTATTCTCATCCAAGGCCTTGCTCAAATCTCGCATATGGGTTTCGCTTGATTTTGTCTCCCCCTTTGTATTATTAGCAAGGAGATTGCGATTGTAATGGTTCTGAATATGACCTACAGCTGATTCAACCGCCTCAATTGCGGCGTCTTTAATCTGCGCATCCTTGGGCTCATTTTGTGCCTTGAATTCATCAAGCTCGACGCGCAATTGATCGCCATCTCGTGACAGAGCCTTTATTTCTTCATCCTTCGCGGCACAGTTGTCTTGTAGCCGAGCGTTCTCATCTCGAAGCAGCAGCACGCGCAGCTGCAGACGACGAGCATCTTCATCTCGGCTGATGAGGTCGGTTTTGTGGCGGTTTTGCTGATATTCAAGATCAAGAGCGTGAAGACGCGTCGTGCGCTGAAAAGGCTTCACATCAGCACACCGTCAAAGCATCGGCGATAAAGGGGATGGCTACCTCAATCAAGTCGGCGCTCATGGCTGTCACTCATCCAAGAGCAAAGGAATATGTGATTATGATGGAAATACCGCTGATGACAAGATGAACTGCCGTGTAAATCTGGCGATTGACGAGAACGCTCTTTTACGTTATCGCAGCTGCATCTCCGATTCGCCCAAGCCGGCTGACATGGTAAACAACAGGCAAACATGCAAGTTCTCAACTGCTAACAATTAGCTGCCGAGTCGGAGCAACCTTGGCGACAGGAATGGAGCTGCCGAAAGGAGTAGACGGAACCTAAAGTATACTTGCTACCGCACGCTTAAAATACGGTACCTTGAGTAGCTAAGAGTAGAAGCTACCTTGTGCTAGCATCTCGCGCTAGCCTCCATATGGTCAAGAGCCACGAGTTACATAATCATGAAACGGGACAGCTTTGGTGACAGCACAGCAGCAACACTTGGCAGCTTAGTTGGCCGCATCGCAAGCTGTGCTTAGACGGTTTGATACAACACTGCAAACAACCGCAAAGATGCGCATCTTGTCGTCAATTGCACCTTTGCTCCTGCTCATTGGCGGGAGCCTCGCAAAGAAGGCGCAGACCGATTCCTACGAGGAATTCAATAAGCTGGCTCAGCGCTCATCCCCAATCAAGCTGAATGATGCCACCTATGCCTCTCTGACAACCGCCCCGAGGAACCACAGTGTCGCTGTCCTTCTCACTGCTCTGGAAACTAGATTTGGCTGCCAGCTTTGTCAGGAGTTTCAGCCTGAATGGGATCTTCTAGGAAAGAGCTGGACTAAGGGCGACAAGACTGGCGAATCTCGATTGATCTTTGGCACCTTGGATTTTGCTGATGGCCGCGAAACCTTCATTTCGGTGGGTAGTAAAGCTGCAATTGGATGGAGATGAACCTCATGGGCATGCTAACGCATCAATTCGTACCACAGCTTGGCCTTCAAACGGCCCCGGTGCTCATGCTCTTCAATCCAACCGTAGGACCTCATGCCGCGACCTCCCCAGAACCCTCTCGATACGACTTTACAGCAGGGTAAATCGACAAAGCTCCAACATTGCACATTGTCATTGATGCTAATCATATCACAGGCCTCCAGCTGCTGAACAGGTTCATTCCTGGCTCTCCCGACAACTGCCCAACAGACCGCATCCCGCTGTAAAGCGACCAATTAACTGGCTCCGATGGGCTTCGACTATTACTCTGGTTCTTGGCGTCGGCACTGCGCTGGTGAGCGCATCTTCCTACGTTCTGCCCATCATCCAGAACCGCAACATTTGGGCCTCCGTCAGCCTGATCGCCATCCTTCTCTTCACTAGCGGACACATGTTCAACCACATCCGGAAAGTGCCGTACATTGTCGGAGATGGTAAGGGTGGAGTTAGCTACATTGCAGGCGGATTCCAGAGCCAACTTGGCTTGGAAACCCAGATCGTTGCCGCCATCTGTAAGACGAACTTCCTTTATGCCATTTGGTTCAGAAAGCTAATGCATTATGTGGTAGATGGAATACTCTCCTTCTGCGCCATTACTCTAGCTGTCAAAGTTCCGCGTATGGCCGACTCCAAGACTCAGCAAGTTGCGGTTGTTGTTTGGAGCATCACATTGTTCCTCGTCTACAGCTTCCTCTTGAGCGTTTTCCGGGTTAAGAATGGCGGTTACCCATTCTCACTGCCACCTTTCATGTAAGTGAAATGGCTGGGAAGAACAGGAAATCGAGATATCATGCATTAGGCACGTCATAAGTAGCAGAAGGCTGCATCCATTGTGTAGCTCTCACCATTGGAGATGTCAGCGGTGGTTAGTAGAAGCATTGCGCTGAGTATAGCTATGTAATTTCCGCACTTCGAATTCCCCAGGTATCATGGTACGCGCGTGCTGTCGCAATGGGTATGAGCCATGTAAAAAAAACTTGTGGTTCTATCTGGGTCTTTATCGGAAATACGAATTCGAACAAATCTGCAGTTTTTGAGAATGTACGTTGGTAATAAAGAATTTCAGACACCGTTGAAACAGCTGCGATATGCTTTTGACATGGTCGATTACATGGATGGATATAGATGACGGCCTCTATGTAGCTAACCAAACGGGTAGCTGTATGTCATGCGCAAAGCATTGTCAAGTCCAGACTGCTACTACATCATTGAGGTGCCTGATCAGTCTAGCGCCTTCAATCTCCATGTCCTCGTATGCGATCTGGTTGGGGAATTTGCGACACACGTCGCTGGCCTATTGGTCTCAATGAATTGGTCATTGATGGCCTCCTGGGGAAGCCAGAGCCTAGCGAGATCTTCTTCTCTAGCTTAAGGCGATGCCACTCGTCTTCAGCCTTTTCCATCAGTTGATCGAGAGTCAATTCGGGACCATCGCCGCAGCCAGCTACCTTGTAGCACTGATAGATATGACCGCGGAAATCTGAGAAGGACGGCCCTAGGTTGATGAGAAACAATAACTGGCGGAGTTCCTGGGCAATGCTCCAGCCAAGTTGCGCGCGGTCTAATTGGTAGAGGTGTTCCCTAAAGGCTTGGATGTACTCTCTTATGTCGTCGTTATGAGACTGCAGAGTATCTGTGCTTAAATCATGTACGGCTCTTCGAACCATATGGGGACCGGCTGTATTCCTGGAGGCCTCAATTGGCCACTTGGGCGTCTGCGTGCTTCTGTCCATGCCATATAGCGTGACCAGCGCTGACGAATGCGAGCTGGAAGTTCATATTCATTCGATTCCAGTATGCGCTTCGCTTTGGTCGGCGAAGTTGCAACATGCGCCGCTAGCTTATCGATACGCCCCACTCAAAGGAGCTAGCTGGTTTAGTTGGCTCGTTGCGGCGCCGTGCCTTAGTCAGCTACTTGTACCCTAATTGCCCTCACTGACCGCTCTGCCACTAGCTCAGCAACGGACCAATCAGAGTCCCAATCGAAGTCCTAAGCCCTGAAATTTCTGGGAAAAGTTCACCTTGATATTTACGGCCATCGTCGACTTTACAATAGCCCATCATCAAGCTTTTCAGCAACAGCCGTCGCCATGGGTACGTGAAAAAAACTGACATAGCCTGTGTATGCGAGTGGTGATGATACCTCGTGTATCTCGCTGCGACTTGAGCGCCGTCTTCTCACCAAGATGTGCTGCCATTTTTGAGCATGAACCATCTGGCTGACGACGGTTTTCCAATTTTCCAGGTATCGATCTCGACCGTCACCACGTCAAGGGCACTCACCGCAAGGCCCCCAAGAGCGACAATGTCTACTTGAAGCTCCTGGTCAAGCTGTACCGCTTCCTGGCTCGTAAGTTGGAATCCAACATTGGGGCACAAAAGCTTTGGTGCTGGTTGCGTTGAGCGACTAACGTTTTTTTGCGACACCAGGCCGAACCGATGCCGCTTTCAACAAGGTTGTTCTCCGACGACTTTTCATGTCCAAGATCAACCGCCCTCCCGTTTCCCTGTCCCGCATTGTTTCCAACCTCGGCAAGGAGGAGAAGCGCACCATCGTCATCGTCGGCACCGTCACCGATGACAACCGTCTCCTGACCTTCCCCAAGGCCACCGTTGCCGCCCTCCGCTTCACTGCCACCGCCCGTGCCCGCATTCTCGCTGCTGGTGGTGAGGCCATCACCCTGGACCAGCTTGCTCTCCGTGCCCCTACCGGAAGCAACACCCTGATCCTCCGTGGACCCAAGAACAGCCGTGAGGCCGTCAAGCACTTCGGCTTCGGTCCCCACAAGCACAAGGTATGGCATATTTGGATCTGGCAATCGCTCAAAAATACTAATCCATATTACAGAAACCCTTCGTCGAGTCCAAGGGTCGCAAGTTCGAGCGCGCTCGTGGTCGCAGACGCTCTCGTGGCTTCAAGGTCTAAATTTGGTTGGAAAAAATGGGCAAGCATCAGGGTGGAGATACTTTTTATCTTCGATTTTCGCTTTATGTATGGGACCTAAATGGGATGGCGTGACTTGATATCATTCGAACCTAAAAATTTCGTGCCTGGACATGGCCAAATTGATGATCTGCTTGACCAATTCATCGTAGCATTGAATCGTGATGACATTTGTGTATTTATTCTAGTGATCAATGGTAGCCTTGCCCTTTCTATAAAGCGCAACAAAATACGCCTCTTTGCTTTCCTGTAGTAGTTATGAGTATGTTGCTTCGTGTGTGTGGATGTGTGTGGGTGAAGCTTACTGCTCTAGATGATTCTGGTTTCTCTCTATACACTTCTGAGAAGAGCACTTTGAGTTGCTGTTCCAATGATTTATCCATTGCTCCTGTGTAGAATTTGCATACAAGGTGGCCGCCGGGCTTGAGTGTGTCGCTGGCAAAATGAAGTGCAGCCTCGCAAAGGTTCTGCATGTCATCAGGATCATGTTCTTGTCATTTTCCAGTTGATAGAGTCCTGGGATTGGTCTTACCATACTGCCCGCATGATCTCGAGATGCAATGCCGCTCGTGTTCATCAGCCTGTTATAAGGGTTACTTAAACTCCTTGAAATATATCCAGATGCTTGTTCCCATGGTGCTGACATATCACTTAACACGACCTATATCAAGGTCAGCGTCGGAGCACAAATATCATGGCTATCAAATACAAGACGTGGTTGACGAACATCCACAAGATTTCTCGAGGTCGACTCTGCTGATGTGCTACTAGATGGAGAGCCTGTGCTCTCTGCCGAGTGCCTCTCTCGGTCAATGTAGCTCGGCTGGTCGAGGATGGTATTTTCTGGCAGCGTATCGCCATCTTTATCAACATCTTCCCTCCCGGCTTTAGGAGGTCTGTCGCTGTGGCTTTGGGCAATGAACTCCTTGACAAGTTTTTGAACTATGGGAGACAGAAAGTCTCCTTGGAACGCTGCAACGCCTTGAGGAGGCTGAGCGGGTATAAGATCGATGCCGATAACACGGCCATGAGGTCGAGTGCGATCAACGGCAACCTACAAAGAAAATGTGAATCTCCCAGTTTTCTTCGAATACCAGGGCCGATACTGGACATTGATACGAAGATACGACATACTTGTGACCAACTGCCGGGTGCATATCCCTGGAAGAGAAGAGAACAAGTTTAGAGGCTTGCAATCTGGATTGATGGCCTGATTTATGTATAACTTACTAGATCAACTACAGTTTGACCTTTCTTGAAGAGCTTGTACTTGGCGTCGATCTTTGTTCATATTAATACTATGAAAGCATGGCAGAAATGTGAAGACGGGGCAATCTTGCCTCCAACAGCTTGAAAGCTGCTCTGCTCTTGAGTCCTTGCACTTTAGCATGGCGAACATATGCATCGCGACCTTGACGTTGTTTCCATTGAGTCCCAGAGGACGACGGCCTTGCTCCTTTCAGCCAGAGAGCAGAACTCAGAGGAGCGGCGTGCGATGTAAGAACCCAGGGGCGTAGGATTAATCGGAGACTCCGTGGAACAGCCTGATATGGACGCAACATGTTCCCATTCGTAGGGTTTTCATGTCAATGGCTGTCGAAAAAGGGTCTCCGAGAGTTTGCTTTGGGAGAGGTTCAAAGCTTGTAGCTCCATAGCTGAGATCTAGATAAGATAACCATTTTACACAGACATGTGCCAGGTGGGATTATATAATATGACTTTTGCAATATTAAAATACAGCAAGATGATATTATATAGAGTTTAATAAAATGATCTTATTATTCTGTATTTTTGTATTTAGATCCCATGTATTTTAAACTTGATGTGGTATAAAATCAGAGAGTAAACAAAGCAAAAATTAACTATAAAATGTGACATTTAACAACAAAACAATCCCCAAGACCACTCTATTAAATCCTATTAAATTTTGTTTTACGGAATTTCTAAAATTGCCTTTTAATACATACTTTTTGCCTAAATGCCACTGTGTTTCCGGCTTTTTACTCCTCCAACTGGCTTAGCGTCAAACTTGCTCTGCGGCAAGGCTGCCAATCAGCGTCTCAGGTAGCCACTCACTACCCGACCTTTATGGAGCAATAGTTACTCTCGCTCTTGAGCAGCCAAATTCACCTTCAACTCGCGGCTTGCCGTCCTTCTTCTACTCGCCATATCTTCAATACCCGCCATATTCTACCTTGAGAGCATCTTCTCTCGTACGAAAACAACCCACCGGACCATCTTTGAAAGTTGCGATCCGCCTGTTCTCTAAAGAATGGCTGTCGTAAGTGCACACTGTTCTCTTCCTGGTCTCTCTCAACCCTGGCTCTCGTGGCAGATCGGGGAGCTGCCCGTTCGGGGTTCCTCTGGATTCCTACACCACAGAAGGCATTTCGCCGTGTCTCTTTTGCTCTAGTAGCATCTACCTCGTGTCCTGATGCTACCCTTCCACTTGGAAACTGGGAATGCGGGACGAAACATGGCCGCCCGCATCGCCACACGCCCCTCTACCCACGATTGTTGCTGCGCTGTTCGTTTGGACGTTGAGTTGGCTAACGGTTGCAGCCTCGAGCATATGCCCCTGGCTACATACAAAATGGTGCGACTAGCCTTCCATCGCCTGGAGCAGCGCCTCTCCTACCCAACCAAGGCCGTATCATCCAGACGGGACCCATAAGGATTCTCTGCATTGCAGACGTTAGAGGTATATTGCGGCGGGCATCGTGTTACGGATGACATCCGCTGACATCCCACCTAGGAAACCTACGATCACTCAACGAGCTTGCCAAACAGGCTCAGGCTGACCACATCATCCACACTGGCGACTTCGGATTCTACGATCACACATCTCTGGAACGGATTGTGGAGAAGACTCTGAAGCACGTAGCACAGTACTCACCACTCATCTCTGAACCAGTCAAGAAGGCTATTCAGCAGGGTGGCCCTGGCTCTGTGAAATCCAGATTCTCTGCAAGCGACCTGCCTCTTTCCGAACTCCCTCTGTTACTCAGTGGAGAGCTGAAGCTCGATGTTCCAGTCTATACCGTCTGGGGTGCTTGTGAGGATGTTCGCGTTCTTGAAAAGTTCAGGTCGTCTGAGTACAAGGTCCACAACCTCCACATCATCGACGAAGCCCGCTCCATGCTGCTGGAAGTAGGTGGTGTAAAGCTCCGACTTCTCGGTCTCGGTGGCGCTGTGGTAATGCATAAATTATTCGATAATGGAGAGGGCCGAACCACTATCGCGGGCGGACAAGGTACCATGTGGACGACCCTACTGCAGATGGGTGAGCTGGTCGATACTGCCCATCGTGTCTACGATCCTACCGAGACTCGAGTCTTTATTACGCACGCCTCTCCCGCCCGAGAGGGTATACTGAATCAGCTCTCTGTTACTCTGAAGGCGGACTTTTCTATTTCGGCCGGACTCCACTTCAGGTATGGAAGCTCTTACAACGAATTCAGCGTCAATCCTACGTTGGATCACTACCGCGGGAAGCTCGCTGCCTCAAAAGCCTCGTTCAATGACGTTTGGGAAACCGTTCGAGGAGAAGTTGAGCCTGCTATCCAGCAGAACGAGGCCCAGCAAAACCTACTGAAGAATGCCCTGCAAATTGTAGAAAAGATGCCCACAACAGCTGCTGGTGGAAACCCATTTGGAGGTCCAGTGGGCCAGGGTGCTTTGGGCGCAGTTGACGAAAGCGCTTTCAAGAATATGTGGAATTTCAACCTTGCCGATGCTGCCTTTGGTTATCTGGTACTGGAAATCCAGGACGGACGAATCGGAACCGAGATGCGAGCTCAGGGATTCAACTTTTCGCACCGAGGAGCCAAGCAGCAGTCCTCTAATGCTCCTACAACGGCTGCTGCTGCTCCCCCCGCAAGCGCGACTTCTCCTGCTGTCCCCCCTGCCCAAATCGCCAAACAATCGCCACCAGCTCAACAGCCCAAGCCAGCTGCAGCTGCCCCCGTCCCTACGATACCGAACCGATCAACTCCACAGCCTACTGCGGGTAATGCTCCAGCTAACAAAGAAGCCGAAAAGGCTTCGGCTTCGATTAATGGATCTGCAAACGCCCCTGAGCCAGCAACCTCACCAATCCCAAAGACGTCTGCATCTGATATCATTGGCCTGTTCATTATGAATGTCAACACGGACGAGCAGTGCCGCGATCTGTTTGATGAGGCTGACAAGTCCAAGATTCTCAAGATTGAGAAATGGGGTGGCTCAAACAAGGTTGTCCAGTTCAGAACGATTGAGGACCGCGACGGAGCCATGGGCAGACTACCGGAAGCCGTCAAGACACGAACTACAGAGGATCGATCAAAACCTCTGGTGAAGATCTTCCACCACCGAGAGGGCAAGCCTTTCAATACCCGCGGCAATGCTGGAACCTGGGGCGGCAGCGGACGAGGCGGTGCTGCTTCAAGTGGATATCGCAGTGCTGGTGGAACCAGTGATTCCGAGAGCAACCGGCGAGGAGGACGCGGTGGACGTGGAGGGCGAGGTAGCGAGCGAGGCCGTGGATCTCGGGGACGAGGAGGTCTAAAGGGGGATTCAGGCGTGTCATCCGCAGCGGCACCGTCGACTCCTACTGCCGATTAGTAAACGCGGTCAAGGAGCATCGAGTTCCCTGATTGTCTTCGCCACTTGTAACGGCACTCTTCTTTTGTTTTTTTCAGGCGCGCCCAGCCTTGAGAATTTTATCTCATTCACGTGGTTTTCCTTTGGGACAATCTGGCGTTAGGCTCTGGAAGGTATGAGAGCAAGGTCCAGAACTTTTCATGGTGTACATATGTATCTCATGAGCTTCCGGGAGGATTAAGTGTCGGGCTTGAGAATATTAGCCTTCGTCTTTCGATTGGTACCTCAAGTAGTTAGGTCACAAAAAATTTCTTATGCGACGTCTTTTGTTTATGAATGATGGCCACTGTACGCTAGTGATATCGTGAAAGATTAATTTCTAGTTATTTTATTTCGGAGCGCCAGTAATTGGTGTCTCCGCAAGATAATATACATAAGTAATCGCCCACATAGGGAGAACAAATCATAGAGGCTTGATGCCCTTGTGAATAGCTGCCACACCGCCGGTAAGATCCTCGTATCCCTTTCCAACAATGTTGAATCCAGCCTCAGCAATCATGTCCCGGAACTCTGTCTGGGAGGGAAACCGCTCTATGCTTTCAACAAGGTATTGATAGCTGTCACGGTCTCCTGCGACCAATTGGCCAATCAACGGGATTGCACTGAAAGACCATTGCTTGTAGATGGCATTGAAGATGGGGTACTTGTCAACCTTGGAAAACTCCATGCAAGCAAAAATGCCGCCGGGCTTGAGCACTCTGTACGCCTCCTTCAGGGCAGCCGGCATATTGGAAAAGTTGCGGATTCCGAAACAAACCGTGTACAAGTCAAGAGAGTTGTCCTTGATGGTCGACGGCAGGACCTCGGCGTTTGCCTCGAGGAAAGACAGCGAAGACTGGTGCGAGGCTGGGAGAGACAGGGAGCGCTGCTTGCCGACGGCCAGCATGGCGGGGTTGATGTCGGAGATGGTTACGTGGACGTTTGGGTTGCCGTTATTGACGTGGGCGTGCTGGAGCATGCGAAAGGCGATGTCGCCTGTGCCTCCGGCGACGTCGAGGATGCGCTGGGGGGTGCCGATGGGGTTTGTGGCTCCTGGGTTTAACGAGGAGACGAAGTGATCTCTAGGAGAGGCATTAGCACTTATCCTTTGGCATTTCATATGGAAATCTGTTGAAGAGTAATGGAAGACTTACTTCCACAGACGGTGAACTCCTAGAGACATCAAGTCGTTCATTTTATCGTATGATTCGGCAACGCTAGTGAAGACTTCTGCGACTCGCTCCTGCTTGACGGATTCCGTGACGGTTTCATAGCCAAAGTGAGTAGCGCGGTTTGCTGTGGGTGTTGGATCTGAAGCACGAGACTGGCGTGTGGTAGAGAAGAGGCGGTTTGTGTGAGAGATGAAAGCCGTGGGCCGGAGCAGGCCTGCGCGGGTTCTTAGCAGTGAAGGGGCGGACATGGCGATGGTTTGTGTTTTTTTTCTCTAGGCTCTTGAGTGAGATGAATGGCGTATGATGAGGTGATTGAGAGTTTTGCTTTGTATGTGAAGGAGGCTGTTGATTCCGGAATGGCCTGTTTTCCTCTCTGTGTATTGCTGTTTCTCACTCTTGAGCAGATGAAGATGAGATTATTTTCTCTTCTACCCTGGTAGCAAGAGATTCCAGATGCCAATTGTGCGAGATGCTCAATTGGTTCAAAAGCCTTTAATAGTATCGGATTAGCAATGGTATTACAGCCAAAAAGAATCGTGAGTTCGCAAACCTGCCAAAAGACTTTCTACAGTCTTGCTGCTGCTTCAATGTCTTGCTGAGTTCCGGCTTGGTTGGCTTGGCGATGAGCGACAAGAGCTTGGACAAAGTGGTGGATACTCTTTTGGAAAAACCAGCCAATCAGCGCAACGAGGATGAAGAGACCGAGGATGAGCATCACCAAGTTGACTGCGGGAGGGGCCATTTGGAGATGAATATTTTGAGGAGAAAATATGAAGTTAAAGAGTATTTCGATAGATAGAATTCTGTGTTTTTTTAGTTGTTATTGTGGTGATCTTGACGGCAAGTTGTATTGTGATGCTGCTGGTGATGGCGTTGGCGATGTGTGGTGATGGCTTCAACTGGAGAATCAGAGATGCGATATGCTCATCGTGGGTTCTGATTCTGCACAAAATAGGGGGAAAATATGAAAATATTATTTTGAAACTACAATAAACGAATTTGTTGGAGCATTTTCAAGCAATTGTGCTTGACAGCTGATCCAACGAGTTCTGTCTGGTCTGCCACCTGGCTGCCAATTGCCCTCCCAGCATCGACGCATGGAATGTTGAGTATCTACAAGACCAAGTCGATTTCACCTGGAAAGTAAATAAAATAAAAGAAAGCTCAATAGTATGTTCAAAATTGACACAAAACAGGATTAGGTGCATTTGGAGACTCACTGCCCTTGTACATTAATAGGTAGAGGTAGACTACACAAGGCAAAGCAAGCATCAAGTACCAAGCCCAAGAGCCGAGCAACTCTCATCATCTCCCCCAAACTTTCATGATTCAACAACTTCAAACAGACACTTTCTGATTTTTGAGACAGCTTCTTCTATAATGAAAGCACCTCCAGCCACTGCAGAGGCCGGCTTAGTGCTTCACTTGGAAAACCTCGGACAACCAACCCCGGGTTAGCGCTGACGGATTCTGTCGGCTCAATTGTGACCGCTCTCTATCGGCAGACTCGCGCCTTATCCCGAGCTCGACCAAAGGGAACCAGAGCCCATCCCCGGATTTCTTATATTAAAAAAGTTGGGGTCTGTCATCTTGCTGGATCTTGGATTGTGATTGTGATTGTCCTTCTTCCAGCAGCCAAAATGTTGAATCCGCTCAAGGCCAACTCGCGCGTCCTTCGCAGGGCCTCCATCCGGAGACTGGCTCAGCCGTCCGTGTCCGTCATCTCCAATCCCATCCGGAGTGCGGGAAGCCTCTCGCAACGGCCCAATTCGGGATTTGTGTCGTTTCCCGGCGCTCTCAAGAGCTCCTTCACCAGCTCTCTCAAGTTTGAGACGCCCGAATCATACACAGCCCTGCCGACGTACAGAGTCGTGGACCAGAATGGCCAAGTGGTTGACCCCTCCTTCAGCCCCGACATCAGCGATGAGGCCGTCATCAAGCTATACAAGGATATGCTGTACATCTCCATCATGGATCTCATCATGTTTGATGCTCAGAGACAGGGCCGACTAAGCTTTTACATGGTAAGCGCTGGCGAGGAGGCCGTCAGCGTTGGCACCTCGAGTGTGCTGGACAAAGATGATCCCGTCTTCTGCCAGTACCGAGAGCAGGGCTTGTTCAAGGAGAGGGGATTCACGACGGAGCAATTCATGTCACAGCTGTTTGCCAACAGAAACGACAACGGCCGGGGCAGGAACATGCCCATTCACTACGGATGCAAGCCGTTGAATATTGTGAGCACTCCCGGGTTGCAACCCCTGCAAATGACGACTAACACTTTCCGCCACAGCACACTGTCTCCTCACCATTGGCTACACAGCTTCCGCAGGCTTCGGGGGCGGCTTATGCCTTGAAGCTACAGAGATTACAAGACCCCAGCTCCAAGCCACGAGTAGCAGCGGTCTTCTTCGGAGAGGGAGCTGCCAGTGAAGGTGATTTCCATGCCGCGCTGAACATTGCCGCCACACGGTCTTGTCCTGTGGTCTTCATCTGCCGCAACAACGGGTTTGCCATTTCCACACCCACCCTCGACCAGTATCGAGGAGACGGCATTGCAAGCAGAGGAATCGGCTATGGAATCGACACCATTCGAATTGACGGAAACGACATCTGGGCGGTCAGAGAGGCCACAAAGAAGGCACGAGAAATGGCACTGCAGGACGGTGGCAAGCCGGTGCTTATTGAAGCCATGACCTACCGTGTCTCTCATCACAGTACTTCCGACGACTCGTTTGCATACCGAGCCCGTGTCGAGGTCGAGGATTGGAAGCGACGGGATAACCCCATCACTCGACTAAGGAAGTGGATGGAGGCCAAAGGATGCTGGGACGAGGCCAAGGAGAAGGAGGCCCGAGACAGCCTGAGGAAGGAAATCCTCAAGGGATTCAGCGAAGCAGAGCGAGAGAAGAAGCCACCCATTGGCTCCATGTTTGAGGACGTTTATGAAAGTCTTACGCCCGACCTCAAGGAGCAGATGGGACAACTCAAGGAATTGCTAGAAACATACCCCGAGGAGTATGATGTTGCCTCTTACGAGGGCGGAGTAGCGAGCTTGGATGTTCCAAAGGACAATTAAGCTATTGATAGATGAGCGTTTCTGTGTTTTGTAAATAGTTTGAAGATTTCTTTAGAAGAATCCATAAGTGGAAACGTTGTTAATGGTTTGATATTTGCATCGTCCCAGCAGCCCGTGTATTGCATTTAAGACGAAGAAGTACCCTGAAGGTACCGCGCAGAGCAGAGAGAGCTTGCATTGCCCAATCCGTACTAGAGCAGTCTTGACATTTGGCACAACGGCGAGCGCTAGTGCGTTTGAGGCATAGCTTAAGGTCCCCAATCAACATTCCACGCTGAGCTCTCCACCAAGTTACTTTGAAGCTACTCCAAACATCCCTCGATATCAACAAATCGCACCATGTCGAGCTCGAGCAAAAGGCATTCTATCCTGCCGGCTGTTGACCGCAGCGGTCCGAAGCCCCCCGTCAACTTTTCCACATCACTCACGATCTCGGACAATGCGGTACTTCTCGGCAGCCATTCAATCACCATGCAGGCAGAGACGGTGGTTCATCCCCGGTCGCGCATCGAATCAAGCGTCGGCAGCATTCTTGTCGGGCGACGGTGCATTGTCCAAGAGCGAGTGCATCTCGGGGCTCCTCCAGACAGCCGCGAAAAGGGCACTGGCGGCGTGAGCCTAGGCGACTATGTTCTCATCGAGGCGGGTTCGGTGGTGGAAGCCGGAGGGACGGAAATTGGCGAGGGCAGCGTCATTCAAGTTGGAAGCAAAATCGGAGGCGGTGCCAAGATTGGTAAAGTACGAAGCACAAGCTACTGCGATACAATATTCATTGGGTTACAAAGCTAATGCAACGTAGAACTGTACAGTGTCTTACTTGTCCGTCATTGCGAGCGGCGAGGTGCTACCCGACAACACGGTTGTTTACTCCAACGGCACGCGGCGAACCGACAGGCGCGGAACCCCAGAGCTTCGAAAGCTAAGCATTGTGAAGCAGATTGCTATGCTAAGGAAGATGATACCGAGTAACCCAGACAAATTCCGATAGTCTGCTACAAAATTTATGCTACATCAATAGCTCATGGCGTCCTCGAAAAGCCCCCGTAGCTGCTCCTTTTCAGCTTGCAATTCTGTGGCAAGGTTGGGGGCGAGCTTCAGCACTCGAGCCTGGGGAATGGTGCCTTCAACAAGCGCATCAATGTGCTCGCTACCAAAGCCCAAATCCTTGAGCCCTTTCGGCTGGTCTCCCAAATCCTGGAGGAATTTCATCAGTGCCTCAGCCAAGACCTCACCGGCACTCTCCTTCTTCACGTTGGAAATGTCGACGCCAAAGGCCTCGGCCGCAACGAGATGTCTCTCTGGGTTGGAAGCTGCCGTGAATCGGAAGACGGCGGGGGCAGAGACTGCTACGGAAACACCGTGTGGGATGATGGGGTGCGGGATCTCATAGCCGGCGTGCTTGTAACCTGGATTTTGGCCAGAAATGGGATACGACATGCCTGTATTGCAATCAGCTTAGCAAGTGGCTCAGGATACGATGGGATCGGGTCGCTTACCGTGGCATAAATGGACACCCGCATTTCCAAAGCCAACTCCAGCAAGCGTTGCCGCCAATAGCATTTCGCTCTGTGCTTCGAAATCATCGGGATTTTTCACAGCTCGCGGAAGATACTTGACCGTGCTCTTTAATGCATTGAGAGAGAAGATGTCAGAGATTGGATTGGCTCCCTGATAGGCTGGCCGAAGGATTGGGTTTGTGGGTCGAGGTGTTCTCTCGGTATAGGGAATAGCTGTCCACGACTCGAGAGAGTGACACAGGACGTCTAGACCGGAGCTGGCCTTGACGGCAGCGGGCATGGTCCGTGTGTTGAGCGGATCGCATATTCCAAGGGTGGGCTTGAGATTCCGGTGAGCAACACCCGTCTTTGCCCTCTTGGAAACGAGATCAAAGATGGCGGTTCCCGTGGTCTCACTACCAGTACCCGCGGTGGTTGGGACTGCAATCAGCGGCTTCATGGGCTTATCAATAGGGAGCCCCTTTCCCAGTGGCGCATTGACAAAGTCCAAGAAATCTGCATCTGGGTACGCCGTGTAGAGGTTCATCAGCTTGGCCGTGTCCATGACGGAGCCTCCACCGACAGCGAGAAAAACATCTGGCTCATACGGCCTTGCCCATGCAATTGCGTCCTTGATGCTAATAGTTTTGACGAATGCGTTAGTCGAGTGAGGGAGACAACAACCAGCAGAAGCTGGTGTAATACACGTTGAATGGGCACAGCGGGAGAGGGGGCAATTACGAGCTATCCTTTGGTTCTATCCTTACGTCGGAGTAGACCTTGAAATTGATGCCCTCGCGATCGAGACTCTCTCGAACTTGTCTCATGGCATCCAATTGATTCACAGTCTGGTCGGTAACAACACACACTCGCTTCGCGCCGAGGTTCTTCAGGTCCATACCAACCTCCTGGGTCACGCCAGCTCCGAAGCGAATGGACGAAGCCGCCATCTCAAAGGCATACTCCTTAAGGTCGGCATTCGAAGGCGTGGCGAACCGGCGGCCGCCTATGTTCTTGTTCTGGGTGATGGAGGTGCGGTGGTAGCCCGGATTGGAGTGGCACGGACATGACGGAGGATGGGTATACTGGATTGTTCGAAGAAGATTCGACGCGCGCTTGGCGGCCTGGATGCGATTGGTGAATACGACAAGGTTGAATTAAGCATAGACAGGGACAGGGACAGGGAAGAGGAGCTTGTACTATACATACATTTGGCAATACTCTGACGGAGGCTCCCAGGGTCATTCTGGCTTTGTGGCGTATTTTTTATTTAATTCCCGATTGCAATTAGAGTAGAATTCCAATCCTGTTTGTACAGCAACAGTCTACTTTGCGGGGTTGGGAGTTGATGCCAGGAGGGTATGTCAACATTATGGGGTAATGGGTTCGGTTTGCCCCGGTTATGTGGTAGGATCGCAGCGCAAGGCTTAGAATGGAGATGAAATTGTGTTAGGCATGCCGGTTAGCGTTAGGAAGCTCCAGTTTAAAGAATTGCCGCTGTATGGGGTAACCGAGGTCATCGATTAGAATGGAATGAAGAACTGAAGACGGTTTTCAGTGTCTTCTAGCGTCCAGTTCCCCAAGTCCGTCCATGGATTCATTCTTTTTTTAGGGCAGTTTACAACTACCTTGGTACTATGTACGATTGAGGCCAAGTTAGTAAGTAAGCTGCATATCCGGTGCATACGACGGTACAGTCGGTATTTAGCAGATACCGACATCCATGGATATTACAGTAGTAGTTTAGTTAGCTGGTTTGCTGGTGGTGTGTGTGTGTGTCCATATTCCGGGACACCCACCTAAGCACTCCGACCGTTTACAGTAACTCGCACAGCATGTTCTAGATGGAACAGGGAGCCTTTTTCAAAGCTTCCATTGATTAGTTAGTCGAAGTCGCGGCTCTCCAGAAGCAGCAATTCTCTTAGCAAAATTAGTCATCGGAAGTAATTTTTTCTGCGTGCACCTCGTTGAATGCGCATCTGCAAGTTTTAATTGCCCCGTACGGAGTAGTCAGTTATGCCATCGGCTCAGCCGGATCATCTCAGCGTTGTTATCGGCACTCTCAGGTGACAACGTCATCATCCTTCAAGGTCCGTTGCCCGACGCTTTCTTGGCAACCCTGTTCCTGTTTCCCTTGGATTAAGTTGGTTTTTCTCTTAAAGAAATGGCGCCCACGTCGCCGCCCAGCCAAATGAAGGACTCTTATCGCCAGTAGTTTCTTTTTTTCCCATTTAGCTTTTTTTCTTTCTTCATTGTTTATTTATTTGTCTTTTTTATAACCCTCCAATTCAACCTCCCTGATCGCATCGTGTGTGAACAAACCGCTGCCCACGATGCCGGGCGCAGATCAGGACACAGCGGCCGTCCGCTCCATGTCGGAGGATTTGCCAAACAATGCCGCTGCTGCTGCAAAGGCAAAGGCAAAGGCCGCTGACACTCCCGCCAACGTCAACGGCGGCATCGCCATGTCCCATCACGGCACCGCCTCGCTGCCAAACATCGTCACCTTTGCGTCGTCCATGGAGACTGCCACCCGAAGAGCAAGCCAGCAGGTCAACCCGGAATCCCCTCGCACAGACGCGCCCCGGCGAAGTCTCTCGTATGCGCTGCGGCCGCAATCAGATGTTTACTACGACTCGCGGGCTGGAACGCGCAAGGAATGGAAGCGACGAGATCGGACTCTGCAGGATTACTACGGCAACAACCCCCAGTTGTTACCTCAGCTGCCGTTTACCTGGCATCACGGATGGAAGCGCTGGAGACTCTTTCTCTTCGCCATCATAGTTGTTATCGATGGCTCGGTGGTGCCGATTGTGCTGTACTATGCAATGAGATACGCAGGCCATGTCCCGGGCTGGATCATCTTTGCCGTCATCACAACCATCTGGGGCGGGCCAACGTACGTCGAATTCGGCATCAGAACGCTGCGTCTCATAAAGAAGGAAAGATTTTATCGCCCGTTAGGCACCAACAGCCGATGGTGCTTTGACACTCTAAACTGGACGTCGGTCCTCACCATCACGGCCGTCACGGCGCTCTTCATCGTGGGCAGTGCGCCGCATGAGGTCTGGCTGAGGGTTCTTTGCATGCCGGCGCCGGCCATTTTGTACAGCATTGGCGGTGTTTTGTTTCTGATTACGCTGTACCACGCTATGGATTGGCGTGCTCCCTTCCGTCTGAGCTCTACGGGCAAAGGCGAAAAGGTATGATATCTCTCTCTACTCTATCTCCTACTTACAAGCGTCTCTTACTAACTTTTTTTTCTCTTCTTGCACAGGTTTTGCCAGGGGTGTATTATTTTATTGAAGATGTCGTCGCCGTCAACGCCGGCGCCGGTCGGCCATACCGAGAAGCTCTGGCTGCACGTTATACTGCTAGCCCCCGCTTCCGGCGAATGCTATTCGTCCAGTCTCTGTTCTGGTCCATCCCTGCCCTCATCTTGGCTGCCGGCCTCACCGTTATAGCTCTGATCCATCCCATTCCCGCAACCGTCGCATATGGCATTTGCTGGGCTGTGCCATTTATATGGTGCGCACTTTGGTGCGGGATTACAATCAAGTGGTGCAAGCGGGACATGGTCCGGGAGAGAGAAGAATGGGAGAGAAAAAATCCCACGGAGAAACTCGAGGCAGCAAGCAATGAGCCTTTGGCGGGAGTATAATTGTTGTATCTATCAAGGTTGCTGCTACTACTCTGTTGCATTGCATACATCTTAACCACGACGCATATCCCTACCACACTTAGCCCATACATCGTTGGCGGTGATTGCTGTGCTGATAATCATGGCGACAGCAATCACTTCAGAATCTACTTGAACCAGCCCAACAGCAGAGGCTGGGAGAAGCAAGTCCATGGCATCAGATATGAGCTTCAGGATCAGCGGCGAGACAGGCTCCACGGGTTTTGTCTGTCTGTCGCCTGTTTCTACCTGATTCTCATTTGGCTTCCTTGGAGCAGATCCATCTCTATCTTGATGTTCACTTTCCTTCTGCGCGTCTTTCTCTTTCTCGTTGGTAGACGAGGGACTGGGGGCCACTTGATTGCCAAGAATGCGCAATAATCTAGTGGCAGAGCGGAAGAGAGAGATGCACAAGGCCACCAGCCAGAACCATTGAGCTTGGTAATTTAAGCTTGCAGTTTGCTCGGGTCCAAATATCTGCATCTGGTCTATTTCCAGCAGATCCAGCAGAGTTACCGTCTCGAGCATGCCAAAGACGCCCAAGGACGTCTTGCAAAGCACATCAAGCAATGCATCGAAATCCAGTATGCCAGAGGCATAAACATCCCACCCCAGCTTGAATTGGTCCAAGAACCGGAGGAAACGCAAGAGGCGTCTGGTGAGGTTGATCTTTGATCGCAGCAGCAGGAATGACGCTGGGGGTGGGACGTTGATCGACGTGAGATGGAGCTGTGCGGCGACTTGGAAGGCGGGATATGTGGCGATGAGAGAAACTAGGGCCTGGACGAAGCGTAATGAGCGCTCGATGCCGGCTTGGCTGGCGTCAGCATTTGCCAGTTAGATTAATTTCATCACGTTACTCTATTTTTGTGCTTTGTGCTCCAAGTGATGGTGATTAAGCAAATTGGAGATGGAGGGGGAATGTAACCCACCATTGTCCGTCCCAAAGACGATGAATTGACGCAAGAGCGTCATTGTACCGTATCAGAAAGAAATACAGCGCAATTGACACAGTATGAGCAACTAGTGAGCATGCAATTGAGTTAAGATGGTGTTTTTTTAAAGCATGTGAATGTGGAAGAGGATGATGGACCCGGGCGAGTTGGGCAGTATATGTTGACGATGGCACGCAGCAGTGCCTTTGGTATCGGATGTTTTTAACGGCTCACGATAAGAAGGGCTTTGTACAATATGCAGATGAGATGGCAGCATTATTGAACTAGCAGCACCTGTAATTGTAATAATAGTGGTCCTTTTACGGGGCACGATATAAAACTCCCGTCGTGTCGTGTTACTACTGGACTATGTGCTGCTAAGGCTGTTAGGCAGAGCTATCATATGAATGCTAAGTTAACAATAATACAGTACTACACAACATCGTGATTCATTGGCATGTGATTCCAAGACAGCGACACAAGAAAAAATAGCTTCATCCACTAAATATGTGAAGCACATCTACCTTATTTCAACCTACCACATTCAAAGCCAAACTGCAACGTTCTTTTCCCCCACTCTACCACCCCGGAGTATAGGGTAGCACTCGGAGACATATGTGACGCTTTTCTTGATTGACGGAAACGCGCAGCTCGCCGATCATCAAACTCGTCACTCGTCTTGTCATGTTTTCGTCACTTCATCGCCGATGCTTCAGCGTGCTAAAATCAACACACCCTCGTATCCGGAAGACTGTCCCCGTAACGTGCGGCTCTGGAGGCTCCGTAGATATCGAGTCTGTAAATCCATAATCCCCAAAACTAAAGCAAAGCTACAGCAACACAGCGCTAACACCTGCAACAGCTTGTACAACATTGATGAGTTTTCACCGTCCAAGTTCCTCGTTATCCATTTGCCTCCGCTGCCCGAGAGTGCCAATGGGGTGAAGCAATTGCCAGAGTTTCTGCACGACTGGCCCGTCGCTAGTATCAACTACCGATGGACGACTGAGCGCCTCAATGCCGCCAGCCAGGAGGACGAGGAAGAGTTCCTCAACACTGCCGACTGGCCTGTGCCGATGCATGATGTGGCATTTGCCTACCAATGGATTGCTGAAGCTTTGATGCCGCCAGACAATGGCCGAGGCAGCATCTACGTCTACGGCTCTCATCTCGGCGCCGGCCTAGCCATGTCCCTCTCCCTTACAGAATCACACCCTCATAAACCGTTCTGTGTCCGTGGCGTCGCAACCTACAACGGCATCTACAACTGGACCATGTTCCTCCCAGGCCACAAGGTCCTCGGCGCAAAATCCGTCAGAGACGCAATGAGGGCGATGCGGCGTGCAAACGGGAATGCTCGACTCGACTCCCTGCATGGGAGACTGGTGTCTCTGTTCCAAGAGCCGGCGAATCTGTTTGACCCCTTTGCGAGCCCGAGTCTCTTTTTTCATAACCCGGGACTGTCTATACCCGAGTCGTTTTACGCTTCTGCTGAGTTTGCGGGCGTTGTGAGTGCCATGAAGGGGGAGAAGAGCTCTGTTGGGATGGAGACTTCTTCTGGTACGCCTCGTAGATCGTATCTTGTGTTTCCACCGCGGCAATCGACTCTCAAGATTCCTGAGACAATGCTCTTACATGACGCACCGTCTCAGTCACATTTACATCAACATTCACCAGAGAAAAAGACGAAACCAGAAAAATCAAGTTCCAAAATTCACGACACAAGACACACGTTCATGGCTCAGGCGGATGAGATGGCGAGTTTAATGCGGCGCAGCATCGCTCGGGTCGAGCTTAAGGAGCGGGCTAGATGGGATGAAGACGCGCAATATTTGGCTGAAGAGCCAGACCGCAGAATTAATGTTGTGGAAGTGGGACAGGAAAGAGAAGAGCTTGGCTTGAATGATGCTGGGCAGCGGGTTGTTTCGGATTGGATGGGCAAGTTGAATACGATACGACGATGGCTGTGAAAATGGCTCCCTTTTTGGGTGTGTCTTATTCGTGACGTCAGTGAATCGTGATGTTGACCTGTTGCTGTGCTGTGTTATGCTGTGCTTATGCTGTACTCTGTCTATTGCATACTTGTACGGAGCAAAGCTGCCGTGATTTGATTTGATTTGATAACAGAGCTCAGACAAAGGCTGCGTTTCATTGACGACACGATAATATGACATCCATGACTGACACGACATGGGCTCTTAACAGCATCAGGTACACCGGGCACCGCTAATGCTGCAGCCTGTACCTTGCCTGAAATAGGCGGCAGCCGTCACCATCCCTTTGGTACTAGCCCGAGGTACGTACTGCGCTAGCCACCGGGCAGTCAGCAAAGCTACAGGTACCTACAGCACAGCACAGAGCACCTGCGCTACTCCATATATCAGTCAACCCACCGCTACCGCTCCGTCACTCTCCATCCGTGACGCAATCATCCGTACCAACACCCTCGATCATCACAACAACACCGAAGCTCACCTGCTCGATCGACACCACTGATTCTACGGTTACAGACGAGGCGCTGGGAAAGCTCGTCCCAGCTCGCATTTTGATGGCCATTCGGCCACGAGGCGCCATGCGTCTGGCGGTGCTGCAATCGGGCCTTGCCGCCTTGCTCTTCGGCTTGAGCGCCCACGCCGAGTCGTTCACGCCAAAGCACGAACTCGGCCGGTGTGCCTTTCGCGGGCAGTGCGGAAAGCAGAGCCTCTTTGGCAAGGAGCTGCCATGTGTCGACAATGGCCTTGCGCACGATCCGGACGAGGATCTTCGAAAGGAGCTGGTTGAGCTCTGCGGCGCCGAATGGGGCGAGGGGCCGGTCTGCTGTAACATGGAACAGGTATGTCGCGTGCCTCTTTGTCGGGACATAATTAATACTAATGGTTATCGAAAGGTCCAAGCTTTGAAAAGCGAAATGGGCACTCCAAAGACGCTCATCGGTTCTTGCCCGGCCTGCAAGACCAACTTCTTCAACCTGTTTTGCAAGTTTACCTGCTCTCCCGATCAATCGACCTTTATCAACGTTACCGATGCCGCGAAAAAGAGTGGGAAGCTGCTCGTTACTGAGCTTGATCAGCTGGTCTCTGAAGAATATGGTTCCGGACTCTATGACAGCTGCAAGGAGGTCAAGTTTGGAGGTGCCAACAGTAGGGCCATGGATTTGATCGGTGGAGGAGCCAAGAATTATCACGATATGCTCAAGTTTCTGGGTGACAAGAAGCCGTTTGTTGGTTCCCCCTTCCAGATCAACTTTCCGGAACAATACGACGAGCCCGGCATGGAACCGAAGGAAATGAAGCCCAAGAAATGCAACGACGAGGACCCGGCCTATCGATGTGTATGTGTCGACTGCCCCGAGGTATGCCCTACGTTACCGGATGTCAAGGAGGCTGGTTCCTGCAAAGTGGGAAAGCTGCCCTGTCTTTCTTTCGCCTCCATCTTTACGTATGGCGTCTTGCTGCTCGCTCTTTTCACTGCTGTCTTTGGTCACATCTTTTGGTTCAGATATCTCAAGCGCCGCGTCGAGAGGACTCGTCTACTGCAAGAATCCTCCCACAGCGATGATGAGGATGAAGGCGGGCCTATCCTTACTGATGCTATGCGAGATCAGCCCACAAAGCGGTATTGGCTTAATGACAAGTGCGACAAGGCATTTCGTAACCTGGGAGACACGGCCGCGCGGTTTCCAGGCCTGACTATAGGTATCAGCTTGCTCGTCGTCGGCATCCTGAGTGCTGGCTGGTTCCGGTTCGACATTGAGCAAGACCCTGCTCGACTCTGGGTCAGCCCATCTTCGGCTGCTGCGCAAGAAAAGGAATATTTTGATTCCAACTTTGGCCCCTTTTTCCGAGCCGAAAAGATTTTCCTGGTCAACGACACCGAAACTTCTGGCCCCAGCCCTGTTCTCAGCTACGAGACATTGCAGTGGTGGACAGAAGTTGAAAAGAGCGTTGAGAAACTTCAGGGGTCTACCTATGGAAGCTCACTTAGCGATGTTTGTTTCAAGCCTACTGGTGATGCTTGTGTCATACAATCTGTTACGCAATATTGGTACTCAAAGGGAGGAGATATCGACCGCAACTACTGGAAAGAAGACCTGCGCAGCTGTGCAAGATCTCCCGTGGACTGTCGACCTGCATTTGGACAACCGATTGAACCAACCATGATCCTGGGTGGCTACGACGAGGATGTCGCTGAATCTCAAGCCATGACGGTCACATGGGTGGTCAACAACGCCCCAGAAAATTCCAACACGCTGGCGCGTGCCATTGATTGGGAGAATGCGCTCCGTGATCGACTCCTACAGGCTCAAGAAGAGGCCAAGAGCCGTGGTCTTCGATTGTCCTTTACCACAGAGATTAGTCTTGAACAGGAACTCAACAAGTCTACCAACACGGATGCCAAGATTGTCGTCATTAGCTACATTGTCATGTTCATCTACGCCTGTCTGGCATTGGGCACACCTCTGAAACACCTTTTCGGAAACCCGGCGCTGCTGCTTGTCGAATCAAAAGTCACTCTGGGTCTCGCCGGCATCATCATTGTTCTCATGTCTATCTCTGCGTCTATTGGTTTCTTCTCCTGGGTTGGTTTGAAAGCTACGCTCATCATTGTCGAAGTCATTCCGTTCATCGTATTGGCTGTCGGTGTTGACAACATCTTCCTTATTGTCCACGAGCTTGAAAGAGTCAACGTTAATTTCCCAGACCAGATGGTGGAGGAGAGAGTCGCTCGGGCTCTGGGCCGCATGGGACCTTCTATCTTGTTTTCAGCCTTGACTGAGACGTTTGCGTTTGCTCTTGGTTCTGCTGTTGGCATGCCTGCTGTCCGAAACTTTGCTGCTTATGCCGCTGGTGCGGTTCTCATTAATGCGGTTCTTCAGATGACCATGTTTGTGTCCTTCCTGGCATTGAACCAAATGCGAGTTGAAGATCATCGTTGCGAATTATGGCCGTGGTGGCAGATTAAGAAAGCTAGAATCACTCTTAATGGCAGCAATGGCTATCCGCCAGCAACTGGAAGAGTGGCTGATGCCGATGAGGAGAGCTACTTGCAAATCTTCATCAGAAACACTTATGCGCCTACCCTCTTGCGAAGGCAGACAAAGGTCGCTGTCGTGGCCATCTTCCTCGGTCTCTTGTCAGCTGCTATCGCCTTGCTACCAGGCATCCAGCTTGGACTGGATCAGCGTGTCGCCATTCCGGATGGCTCCTACTTGATCCCCTACTTCAACGACCTCTACGACTACCTAGAGACTGGCCCCCCTGTGTACTTTGTTACCCGCGGAGTTGATGCGTCTCAACGCCCACAACAGCAAGCAATCTGCTCTAGGTTCACCACCTGCGAGCCCTTCTCCCTGACAAACACCCTAGAACTTGAGCGACAACGATCTGACATTTCATACATCATGTCTCCAACGGCAAGCTGGGTTGATGATTTCTTCCTGTGGCTGAACCCCATCTACGAGCAGTGCTGCATTGAGCGCGGCTCAACCTGCTTTGCAGACCGCCAACCTGCATGGAACACCTCTCTTTACGGGATGCCCGAGAATGACGAGTTTATTCACTATCTCAAAAAGTTCCTCGCGGCGAAGACTGACGACGTTTGCCCACTGGGTGGCCAAGCCTCTTATGGAGATGCAGTTGTTCTGGATGACGAGTCTGCCCACGTCAAGGCCACTCATTTCAGAACCGCGCATACGCGCCTTCGCAGCCAGGAGGATTTTATCAAAGCCTACTCTTCTGCACGCCGCATCGCCTCTGACATTACGAAGGCTACTGGAGCGGATGTTTTCCCTTACAGCGTTTTCTACATCTTTTTCGACCAATATCTTAGCATCATCCAGCTGACTGCCGGTCTTTTGGGTGCTGCGGTCGGTGCCATTTTTGTTATTGCGTCGTTCCTCTTGGGCTCTGTTCTCACATCTGCTATTGTGACGTTGACCGTTATAATGAGCGTTGTTGACATAATGGGTGCAATGGTGCTGTTCAACGTCTCTTTGAATGCCGTTTCTCTCGTGAATCTCATTATTTGCGTCGGAATCTCGGTTGAGTTCTGTGCGCACATTGCCCGAGCCTTCATGTTCCCCTCGCGAACCGTCATGGAGAACAGCTTCAATGTCAACGGGCGAGATGCTCGTGCTTGGACGGCGCTGGTCAACGTTGGTGGATCGGTGTTTTCTGGAATTACCGTTACGAAGCTGTTGGGCGTTAGCGTTCTTGCGTTTACGCGATCCAAGATTTTCGAAATCTATTACTTCCGAGTGTGGCTGGCCCTGGTCGTCTTTGCTGCCCTTCACGCACTGGTGTTTTTGCCGGTTGCGCTGAGTCTTGCTGGAGGTGAAGGCTATGTCGATCCTGAGAGCGAGGGCACGGCTGCTCAAGATTTGACTGATAGACGATGGCGAGCGATTACTATTCACGACAATAGCGATTCTGAAGATGACTATTAGTTGAGGTCTATGGAGACTAAGACCTGGCAGATATAATGGCTTTTTGCCGTGACTACTTGAAGAAGGACGTGCTTAAGGGTTCTTTTACCCAGCCAGATTGCCCTCGAGAAATTGGAATAAATTGTGTTTGCACTATAGTTGGGTTGAAAGAGACGGGTTTCTTTGGTGTCAAATGGAGTAATTGGTGTCTGGAATTTGCTGGAATGTAATAATAGGAGCATACACGGGTAATAATAGCACAGTGGATTGGATATTGTATTCGGGTCTTTGCATGCTGAAATTGGAATGACTGTAATGGAGGTTTTAATTTCGCTTTATTTCCTATCTATCTTATTGGTTTAACAGGTACTAATAAGCTAATATCCTTTTTCGATAGAGACGCTGTTGGTATAAGTTAGGATGGGCCCCTGGCGAGACCTAATAAGCCGGCTTTCTAAATAGAACAAGCAACCCGGTCTGTCACAAGACAAGTCCCCCGAGACTATCCGAGATTCTCATCAATGCGAGTGTCAGTTAATATTTGATCAGTGGCATGTCATCTGTTGTCTCGGATTCCTCGCTGGCAGGGACGTCTTCCTCCGCCTCTGACCATTCATCATCATGGTTCCAAGTTGTCACCTCGTTCTTGTTAGTTTCATCATGGTCCCAAGTTGTCGTCTCGTTTCTGTCAGCTTCATTATAGTCCCAAGTTCCCACCTCGTTCTTGTCAGCATCATCGTAATCCTTCCGCGCTCTCCATGAATCAGCGCCGCTACGTCCCCTCTCTCTTACCGCTCCCCGGTCCAAGACGTAAACCATCTCACGGCCGCACGTCTCGGGTATCTCCTGGCCGTCTCTGCCGACAAAGATGGGTTTCCAGTCGTTGAGCGGGTTCCTTAGCTTGCCGAACTTCCAGAACTCGGTGCGGTGGGTGCTGAGCCATTGGACGTGGAAGGGGAGGCTGGCTTCCCAGGAGATGTTGTTCATCCATTCTGGCGGGGGGATGGTGGTTGTAGGGGGGGATGTCATGCGAGCCTATAGGGGGGGATGCGTTTAGTTTAGTTGGGGGACTTGAGGAGTGAGGATGTGGTGATGATGATTTGTGAGATTGATGGACTTACGTAGCCTTGGAAGGCCTTGGACTTGTTGACGGAGAAGATGAGAAAGACGTTTTTGTGGTGCTTGAAGGCGTTGGCGAAGATGGCGCCGTTGCGTGCACTTGTGATCCATAATCCCTGTTTTTGTTTGTCAATGTGAGGGATTGGCTGGTGAGGTTGAGCTTGTGTGTACTTACGTCTCGCTGGGACATGTCAACGTTTTTGAAGTTGAAGGACTTGACTAGAAGATAGCGCGATTCTGCTAATGTTGTTGAACGCCGTTAGAATTAAAGGAGAAGAAGAAGGAGAGGAGGAGGAAAGATGGAGTGTGTTGAATAGGGGTCAGGATGTATATGGATACCTTGCTTGGGAGCCAGCGACAAGAGTTTGGAGGGAGTGTAGGTATTCAAGCTCCGACTTTTGCTGAAAAGACGTGTTTCCGTTTGAAATGGTCCATCCGAAGAGGACAGAGATTGTGTTCCCTGAATTTCGGAGTTGGGATCACAATCACCAGGGGATGTAGTAGCTTTAATGAGAGATTTGGCATTTTGGATGCTACTTTGACGGGACGGCAATCCGTTTCCAAACGCCGTGGACCAGGTATCTGAGTCAACCCCTTTATTGACTGAAAAATTCTCGGAACCATAATTTTCATTTGAGCTTGCAAAAGCCGTTGACTGGGAACCCGACAGGACATTATCGTCGTTGAATCTAGCCATAGCCATCGAGAACGTTGGCGACGGGTCTTTGAAAGCGGAAAACATCTGCGGAATCGAAGCAATAGTGGAAGAACCGCAGTGCTCTGTAGACGTACGAATCTCCTCGAGAAGCTTGAGGCGCTGCTCGTCGAGGTGTTTGAGTTTGCGGAACCCGTTGAGGACTTTGAGGCGCTGCTCGATGTTGAAGAAGCCGGTGTATTGGAGCCAGAGCTTGACGTCGCTGTTGGCATTCAGGGAGTTGGCGCCATCAGGCTGATGTTGATGTTGATGTTGGTGCTGATGCTGGCTCTGGTTCTCCTGGGAGACACTTGGGGTGGTTTCTTTGGACGAAGATGAAGCTTCGCCATCGCTGTCTGGGGTTTGCATTTTGCGTTGGGACTTGCTGATTTCTGGTTTGCAGTTGTTATAATATCCTGGATGACTACTGTTGAAATGTCGTGCGCTACTATGAAGCAGTTGGTGATCGATATAACACGTAGTCTGTGTCTTTTAGTGAGTTCTTGTACTGAAGTTTCCTAGTGGTTGTTCCACCCCCTGAGCAAGACTTACTGGCGCTTGTTGTTGTAGTAGAAGCTGGCGGCAGACATGGATAATGTTTGTTTGTGATCGAGACTTTAAATAAATATTGGAAGACCTTTAGAAGGTAGACCAAGCGGTGTAGATTTTTGGATGGCAGAACAAACGCCGTGAAAAGGCGGACTGCCTCTTTTGCCTTGTGGGCAGAATGGACAGACACTAAATCACGGAAGGAACATGCACATGTCCGATGCAGACGTGCGAAGCATTTGTTCACCAATATCTCAAGTTTGGCTGTGATGATATTTCATGTCTGTATAATGATGAGATAAACGTGGGTGATTATGAGGTCGACAACAATGATGTGCTGTAGAGTAGAACTGGTTGAAACTTGGTGTTGTGATGAGCGTACTCGATGCTGAGCAACGAAGAGTGCAGTTCAGGAGTCTACTAAGGATAATTAAGGCAAGGTGCAGAGAATTATTACATTCAATCTCTTTGTTTGCTTGCATTTGTAACGACGAACTGGTCAAGGCATCTACGCTGGCGGCATGAACGAGGCAAACAAGCCTCCCTGGATACCGGCATACATGACCATAAAGACAACAACGCCAGAGCCTATTTTGCGAGTCTCGCCGTTTCTCAAGCTGTCAGCAATCCACCAATACCATACGGGATACCCAGATGCCAACCGAGTTATAATCTGCACGTGGAAATTGGTAATGGCCAAGACAGCAACCAGCGTCTGGATCGCAGCTAATGTGAGCACAAAGGTACGATGCGATTCTGCAACAACCGGCGTGGACTGGCTGATGCTTTGACCCCAGCTCCGAATAACTTGTACTCCCGACTTGAGAAGAAGCGTGAGCACCGGGCTGGCAAGTATGAACAAAGGTAGCTGGTTTGGGGTCCAATATCTCAAAAACCCATTATCCCTGCCACCAGAGTAAGTACAAAACTTATCCGTGTGTTTTAGTGTGTAGCAGCAACTTACCAGTAGTAGGCCTGAACAAATGTATATATACTGGGTACCAAGCGAGAACACCAGGGCCTTGGCTCTGCGTCCGTGAGATCAACCTTGCAATATCTGAACCAGGCCACCGTTTGCGGTACTACACTACCGGCTGCAATGCAGAGACCGCCAATGATCAAGGAGGCGAGCAAAACTAGCCTTGAAATACTCGGTTGGCGAAAAAAGGCGAGCAAGCCCCTGATCGCTTCTACGGCAAACAGGAGCCCGCTAAACAAGCCGTTGCTCCTAAAAGCAGTGGCCAGCCCAAACGAAATGCCCGCGCCGAGAAAAGCTAGAATTCGTTTGCCAATGCCAGGACTGGACTGAACACCCGTGGCGAAGAGCAGGTTGCCGATGAAAGACAGGCAGGCAAACGGACTCTCCCCGTACGGAGCAGATAGGAAGAGGCCGGCTGGAGAGAGAATGTGCAGAACCGCTGCCACGTATGCTAGAGTTTTATTGCCAAAGAGAACGAGAGTGAGTTTGTGAAGAGCCAAAACAGCAATTAAGTGAGAAAAGGTCGTAAAGATGATGGCCGCTAAGGGCTCGAGGGCGGCATCATCACCGCCGGCTAGATGCGTCAACGGCTTAAAGAGCCACAAGATGCCGCGTACGGAAAGCGGCAACGCTGCTCCAAAGGCCCATTGCTGCTCGTAGACATAACCGTCGCGCGCAGCCTTCATAAAGTACAGCGCATCCCATCGCGTCAACCGGGTTGCGAGGGCCGATGCATTGGCACTTGAGCCGTACAAGCTCTGGAAGAAGAGGGACGTTGACGTGTCGTAGTCGTGGCTGACGGTGGTTCCGAGGGCTATGGCCAGTAAAAAGGCTTTCCAGGCTGTAAAGACGGCTATGAGAGAGTGCAATGGGCGGGATTCATTGTAGTTGATGAGCTTCATCTTTGTGGCTATGAGAGGATGGGCATTGAATGAGCAAGTGAGTGAGTGAGTGTGCAGTTCTGGTTTGATGTTCAAATCATTTGCTCTGAGCGCATTGGAATTGGAATTGCTGACTTGCGCTCATCAATTCGTCTTTGGTAACAGGACTAGAATGAAGCATGAATTTCAATGGAGGTGAAAATTAAAAAAATTTCAGAGGGTGTGTGTGTGTGAGTTTGACATGAATTGTGTAAAGCAAGCATCATATGAAATCAAGACATGCAGTCTGGCTTTAACATGTCTGTTTGGTAAAGTACCTGCTGGTATGGTGGATAGCTCTCTTGTACCCGCTCTGCCATTTTGCGGAAGTTTCACGCCGTTCAAGCTTATGAGTACCTGATTAGGAGTAACACGAGCGGGTGGGTACCCATTAAGCTCAAGCACCCTGGCTTTCGTTTAACTACACTTACCCAAACCACCCGAATATGCTCTTGTGCAAATATAATTGCAAGTATTTATGGCGAATATCATTTTTTGGAGCCTAAGGCAATGGAAAACATGCCCATATCTTTCTTTAACTTTGATGTTACTGACAGTTTCATTTTGAAGACTACATCTCGTATACAGGCAAATTCGTTAGAGTCAAGATACTAGCTTCTACCGCGCGATGTTGTCATCACCAGATTATAAGGAGCACTGTCATGGCATATGTTTGGTCAAAATATAGAGCACACATGTCTGCCTACGAACCAATCAAGAAATGGAACCCCACGTCGGCGACGTCGGGCAGCCTAACGGCCACTCCGTTGAAAACGCGTCGCAAGGCTCCGTGGTTTCTCTCACTGCCACCTAATAGATATCTCTCACTAGACAATGCCCAACAGCATAGAGACTCTACCTCAGATGCCATAGCGACATGCATTGAAAGCATCCTCATTTGCCTGAGACCAAACTGCTTCTTCAAACATCTACTATTATTGCTACCTGACATCAGCAATGAGCCTCGGCTTCGAAGTCGACTTCTTAGCCCTAATTGGCCTCGTGAATCAGGTACGCAAGAGCTTCGCCGGCGCGCCCGAGCAATTCAAGGCTATTTCTGATGACGTTCGGGGATTTTCTATCGTCTTGCAAGATGTCGAGGCCAACTATACCGATCTCGGCCTGGAACAGACACAAGAATACCAGGAGGTCGTGACCAGTTGTAAGCATCTACTTGAACAGCTTAAAAAGTCTCTAGAAAAATACTCTGGTGTGGCTGAGGCCGCAAAATCTGGGAAAAAGGCGGGTATCAAGAGAGTTTGGAAACGGCTCAAATGGGAACCCGACGATATTCGTGATATACGCAGCCAAATATCCTTCAAGATCGCCACCTTGAGAAGCCTCAACGATCAAGTTACCAGCCAAAACATCATAAAGCTTATCCATCACCAGGAAAATACGGAACGTGAAGCTACGGTTAAATGGGTCAGCGACATAAACTATGTTGCGCAACAAAATGATATCTTTCTACGTTGTCAGACAGGCTCTCGAAAGTGGTTATTTGAATCTGAAGTATACTTGGAATGGTGCAAACGGAAAGGTAGCCTCCTCTTTTGCCCGGGAAACCCTGGCACGGGGAAAACCTTTACGACGGCGATGGTGGTCGAGAGCTTGAGACTTGCGAATGATGCTGAAACTTTGACAACTTATATGTACTGCACCTACCAGAATCACACCCAAACCATAGAGAAGCTGCTCTGCAGTCTTTTACGAGTTGCACTCGAAGAGGCAGACCATGAGGCTGATGGAACTGTTTCCACCTGCACGCAATTACGGCTGTCCAACAAAACCATTTCTCGACACCATTGCTTAGGCTTACTCCAAGATCTCTTTTCCAGATTTGAAAGGGTCAATTTGATAGTGGATGCGATAGATGAACTCACAAACGAGGTGCGACGACCGCTCATATACGACCTTCTAAAACTTCACAAGAATGGTATTGTCAACCTTTTGGTTACTTCACGTGGCATTCCAGAGATCCAACACATATTCGAGAGCTGTGAAGGTTATACCTCTCTAGAAGTGAGGTCAAGCGATGAGGACATCCGTAATTTCTTGAGAGAGAGCATTTTTCAACTGCCGAATTTTGTTGCTCGATCTCGGAAGCTGCAAGATGAAGTGATCGACTCGGTTACGAGCGCAAGCGCTGGCATGTATGTTTCGGGTCTCACTCTATTCACGTTGGCACTGCATTCGGGTTTGCTCACTTATTCTTTAGGTTCCTACTTGCTGAGCTGTATTTAAAATCCCTGGCCACCATACTATCAGTGGGCAGTCTTCGTACACGGCTTTCCAACTTGGCAACTGGTTCGAACGCATATGATACTCTATATGAAGATTCCGTGCTTCGAATTGGATTCCAGGGACCCGAATCGGAGCGTATCGCCGTGCAGACGCTTCTGGTTCTGACATGCGCTAGGCGCCCTCTTTCGCCTCAAGAGCTCAGCCATGCTCTATCCATTGATGAGGACAGTGAAGCTTTTGACGAAGATATGGTTCCAGATATAGATGATCTGATTGCCGTGTGTACTGGTCTTGTCGTATCAGATGATACAAGCAAGATCGTGCATTTGGTACACAGATCAGCGGCAGAGTATTTCGAACGCACAAGATCCCGCTGGTTTCCAAGAGCAAGCGAAAAAATGGCGTTATTGTGTCTCCGATACATTCGAATCGCTGAAGCAAAGCCAGGAGAAACGAGAAAAGAAGCTCCCTTCTTCCACTATGCTAAGGCAAACTGGAGCTACCACTCCATGGAGAGTGAGAAAGAGGCTGCGAAGGAGGCTGCGGTTGACGACGTTGCGCGAACAAACTCAGCCACTAACAATACTCCCTCATCCATGGAACTCGCAGTTACCCGGCTCGCCATCGTTCAGATGACACTAGAAGTCCCAGACGTGCATTCCAGTATTGTTGATGCCTGCCACGCTGGCCAACAGGCATGGGTCGAGCAACTTTCAGTAGTTCGCAACTACGACATGAATGAATATGGCACGAGTCAAAAGAATTTTATATCTGATGATGGGACTTTAAGAGGCGATGTGCTGCCAAGCAAGATGTTCAGAGATGATGTGCTATTGACTATCGCGGCTGCGCGAGGAGATTGCAGCATGGCTTTAATGTTGTTGGCACAAGGGGCAGATCCAAACATCTTCAATACCAACGGACAAACACCATTAATCATCGCCGCGACGAACGGCTTTGATGAAGTGGTCTCGCTACTTCTGGATCAAAAGTCAATCAAGCCAGACTTGATGTGTCAGCATTCAGGCGAACTCTCCACTGCATTCCTGGCATCGATTGAACTTGGGCGAGAGGGATGTTTTAGGATGCTCGTTGAGAAATCTAATCGCGGAGTGAGAGATAGCTACAAAAGAGGTGCCATGTGGCTGGCTGCTACATCTGGACATACCGGCATCATCTCCGAGCTTCTCAAATGGCCCGACGTAGAGATTGATTACACTGATACGGATGTTTGTGGCAATCCGCTTACTGCAGCGGTAAGAGCCAGACACGAGGAAGCTGCCCTACTTCTATTGCCATACTCAAAGTGTCGGAGCTGTACCCATTGTGGGATTACACCAATGCACCATGCTGTTATTAATGGATACCATAATCTCTTGAAACGGCTACTGGAACACGATGCGTCGGCGGTAGACAGCGAACTATATGTCCGTCCTCGCGGGAGAACTCACGGAGGCCGGCATTTTCTGATCGATTGCGAGCGGGAAGGTATAAAGCGTATGAAGACGCCCCTCACCATCGCCATTTCTCTACAAGATGCGCATGCTACTCAACTCCTACTGCCGTATGCCGATGCTAATCAAAACGGTACCTGGCGACCTCTTCACGGAGCAGCCACTTGGGGAGACGTTGAAATATTTGAGCTGCTTCTCAAGCAAGCAAATATCGAGCCAGATCCCATCGATAGACGTGGCCGAACGCCATTTCTCCTGGCAGCTGAACTTGGAAATTGTGACATTATGAATGCGCTCATCAAGAAAGGAGGCATTAAACTCGACAGAAAGGATGCAAATGGACATTCTGCGAGTGATTATATTGTCAATCCTCATTTCCAAAACCCTGATTATTTTCGAGTGCTGGCATCTGCTTTTGATATAGATGTCAATGAAAAGGACTCATCAGGCTCTAATATTCTCCACTATGCTTGCTGCGTTCATCCGACACTCTCAGATAAGTGGCAAGATGTGGACGATCCACCCAGAGTAGATTTTTTGGAAGCCGATTCTAGCCCTCTGGTCACTGAGCTGTTAAACACGCCTGGGGTTGATGTGAATTTATTGGATAAAGAGGGTAATACACCTCTCCTTCTTGCTGTGAAGAATCACCAGCGCGACGTGGTACGCTTGCTCCTGGAACGAGAGGATACAGATGTATTGGCTCAAGATGAAAACGGCGACGACGCCATATTATTATCCTCAACCTACCAACCTATATTTGAGGGCGTATTTCCCAAGGACCGGTATCGTTCTTTGAAAAAGCATGATCTGGGTCCTTTGAGAGGCCAAGTACCGGATCGCTATAAAGTGGACAATTGGCCAGAGGTATTGGATGCAGAGTTCAAGGAGTATGACGACTCTATTTTCAGCATGTTGCTCCACGACAAACGTACAGAAATATATCGCAGAAGCCAGAAGGGACAAAGTATCGTGGCTCGCGTGGCCATGACAGGCACCAAAAATATGGTCCAAGCAGCCTTGGAAACAACTGAACTGGTGTTGGACCTAGAGATCAAATCTTCCGACAAGAAAAGCCTTCTTACTCATGCTTTACAAGGGAACCAGGACGATGAGGCTGTGGATCTTCTGATTGCGCGCTGTGACGCTGATTTTCTCCGGAAACCCGATGCTGAAGGTCGAACTCCGCTATCATATGCAGTACAAAGAGCCACCAGTCAGGTAACTCAGTCGCTCTTAGAAGCTGGTACAAATATCAACGCTACGGATCGATATGGGAAGACATCGCTATCTTATGCTGCTGAGGAAGGACATCCCAACACAGCTTGTTTACTTATCGCCGCCGATGAGGCTCTGATTAATACTTCAGATTTCGGTGGTTTTACGCCGCTGATGCATGCAAGTTATCAACTAAATATTCCCGTCATATCCGTCTTTCTTGAGAGGCCAAATGTCGATCTACTGGCGCTAGATGCCTGGGGGCATTCGTTCTTATGCCATCTCATGAGGCAACGCGATTCCAATATAGATGGATATGGATCAGAAAAGGAGATAGACGGTGTAATCCATCGCATCCACCATTTTCTCCAACCTTATGTCAACGCTTTCAAAGGCTGTATCCATAGTCCCTTTCTCTGCGCTCTAAAAAGACATCAAAAGGTTCATCATAGATCTCACCGTAAAAAACCCATTTCGTCTAGAAAAAGTAAGGAACTCGCTTGCTTTATGGACAATTTAAAACGCTATGCCATCTTATCGGATTTATTCCATCCTGGTTTGGATTTTTCACGATGCGAAACTACAGACGGGCTTTTTGGAGATATTGGGTGAAGAAAAGCATGGCGTCCATGGCGTCGATTATGATCTGTACGACCACCCAAGTTTGTGGATAAAGGTGTTGCAGCTTTACGTTTAGAAAGATACTTAGTAGCCATAGTAGTAGATATCGAAGAATTTTAAGGGGCATTCCGGGCAAGAGTAGTTAATAGGCGCATGTATCCTCAGTACCTCACTCTTAATCGCTTACGAGTGTATATTTGTGTATAGGGGCTAACTTGTTGGTTGGCTCATCTGGAGTATTGAGACCTAATGTCAACAAGCATCGCCTGTCTCAAGTTTGTTTGGGACTGATAAGACATAAATGTCTGTCTTGATAAGCCCATACGGGATATTTATAGATACTCCATTGATAATTGTTGCTTTTCTGATACAAAATCCAGTTACTGTTCGCATAATTGTGGTTGATTCCTACATATACACCTATTCTATAAGTCCTAACTAATATTTGCTTTGCATATAAAGAATACATGGTCAAAAACACATTGCTACCATTCCAGGCTTAAATCTTTTCTCCAGTCAAGATGGGCAGAGCCTCATCGCTCGTCCACCAACTTACACCCTTCTCACCGGGATAAGCATACTTGTCCATGCTCTCCGGCTTCATCTCGACACTGTATCCGGGCTCCGTCGGGGCCTGGTAGTATCCGTCCTTGATGACAGAGGGATGCAAAAAGTGCTCGTGGAGGTGGTCCACAAACTCCAAGACGGAAAGCTTGCCAGTGACAACCACGTAGTCGATGGTGCTCAGGTGCTGAGTGTACTCGGGGAGACCGACGCCACCGGAATGAGGCACAATGGGCACGCCAAACTTCTTGGCCATGAGCAGAACGGCGAGGACCTCGTTGACACCGCCTAGACGGCAGGCGTCGATCTGGCAGACGTCGATGGCGCCCGTCATGAGCAGCTGCTTGAACATGACACGGTTTTGGCACATCTCGCCGGTGGCAACGCCAATGCCGTAGGGCTTGAGAGCCTCACGAACGGCCTTGTGGCCCATGACATCGTCGGGCGAGGTTGGCTCCTCAATGAACCAGGGCTTGTACTCGCTGAGCTGCTTCATGTAGTCGATTGCCTCCGGGACGGACCAGACCTGGTTGGCGTCAACCATGAGAACATTGCCCTTGTCGAAGCCAATGATTTCGCGAGCAATGCCCAGACGCCGCCTGTCCTCCTCAACGCTGCCGCCAACTTTGACCTTGAAGTGTCTGTAGCCGTCGGCCAGTGTGTCTCTCAGCAGCTGCTTCATCTTCTCCTCGCCGTATCCCAGCCATCCGGCACTTGTTGTGTATGCGGGAACGGCTCGGTTCTGAAGGGCCTCCTCAATGCGCTTAGCCTTGCCGGCCTCCTGCTCGCGCAGCATCGCAACGGCCTCCTCGGGTGTGATGGCGTCCGTAATATAGCGGAAATCAATGCAGCGGACGTACTCCTCGGGGGTCATGTCTGCCACGATGCGCCACACGGGCTTGTTGAGCGTCTTTGCCCACAGATCCCAAACGGCGTTGACAACAGCTCCCAGGGCAAGATGGATGACGCCCTTTTCGGGGCCAATCCATCGCAGCTGGCTGTCGTTGACGAGATATCGCCATGTCTTGCCCCAGTCGGCTACTAGTGAGGAGAGAGTCTTGCCCTTGAGGCGGTCGGCAACGTGGGTGATGGCGGCGCAGACAATGTCGTTTCCGCGTCCAATGGTGAATGTCTGTTACGAAAAGCGATTTCTTAGCTAACCAAGAGCCAATTGAGGATTGTAGATTGGGTTAGAGGCAGAGCTGCTTACCATGCCGTGGCCGCTGTGAGGGGAATTAGTTTCCAGGATGCAGTACGCCGCTGAATAGTCGCCGGCAGCGTTCATGGCGTCTGAGCCCGTCTTGTCGAGGGAGGTCGGGAACCGAACATCGCGGCTCCTGAATCCGGTGATGGTGACTTCAGACATTTTGGCTATGTGTGTGTATGTGAGTTTGAGGGAGGGGTTGGAGGGGCAGAATGAGGTGAGTTGGTGAGAAAGGATGACAGAAGAAAGGATGACAAGCTGCAGCTGCGGCGAGAGGATCAGAGGGTATTTATTGCTCTATTGGACACCACAAAGACTAAAGCAGGAAGCCGGTTTCGCAGAAAAGGAAGAGGCAAAAGAATCACAAGCACATGCGGTTTCACTCGTGTCCCCAGTTGTCACGATATAGCTGGCCAATATAAGCGACGGAGAATATATAGCCGTTGAACCGGTTACGCCTCGCGAGCTCTTTTTACTCAGCCATTGGTGGGATCTAAACCGCCGAGGCCGCCTACGCGTAGCAAAAGGGATCATTTACGGAGTCGAGAAACTCGTTGCCATCTGGACCGAAAGACGATTGGTTCGCAACAAGACAAATTGGTGAAGAGAATGACATATTTTGGGGGTCCGGAGTTGGAGACTGAATCGTGCAATATGAGGGGAGACGGGAATGCTTTGCCTGTCTTGGGCTCTTCTTTTCCCGTAGTGGTTAGATAGAGCAACATCTAGCCGGAACAGCCAATCATTTTATCGAGCTCGGAGTTACGAGTGAAATAAGATTAGCCGCTTTCTTTTCAACTGAATCCCTTTTGGAGGGGCTTTCGGGGTACCATCGGAAGATGGATGGGAACCCCGCCCCCGCACTGGATATAGAAGAAGCTCGTGTTTAGTTCGGTAGAAAGACCCGAACAAGCAGTAATTTTGGAGATGGATTTGACTGGATACATGTACTCAATAAACAGTTATGTATCATATAAGCAAGAGCGTATGGAGATAGGAACAAATTTTATGGATACAAGAGTTCTCTTATATATACCTGGTCTCTTCTTCTGTCACATTTGATCTCTCTCTGTTCGTGAGCTTCTCATTTTACAGCAGCCATCTAATCCCGTCGGTTTTCATTCCTTCCGACGCTCAACAGGAATTATTGAGTAACAAACAAACTATCGACGACTTATTTTCCGACGGCTTTTCTAGCAATAATTGACTGTAATTTTGGACATTTATTGTGAAGCACATCGCTGATATGGCTATTTTAAGCTTAATTGATCGAAACGATGCTCATGGCTTGATGTTTCATCATACAATTATGCTATACATGAGACATGAGACATGAGAGCTGGAGATGGTGGTGGGCCAATCCATATATATGGAGTACCTGCTACTCAATGACTTGCAGATCGATCTGTATCTGCGTTTACTCAGCTTGCATTACATATTCAGTGATTCTAGCTACTCATTGGCTGAACCGATGTGTCGGGGTAGCTGAACCTGCACGAGGCAAGATTGTATGGAAGACTTTGATTAGACGTTGATAAGGCTAGCCAATCGTCTTGTCGTCAGTAACAACGCTGTTAACAACGCTGCTACTTCTACCTATTAGTATATAGTCGTATCACAGTGATTCTTTTACCTTGAAAACAAACAGTTGCCTATGCTCGTCATTTATAAGTGTCTGTCTATAAAGCACATCAGCTGTCACATATCGCGGCCGGGATATTTTGCGCCATGTTAATTTCGCCCTTTCAATGAACCACCAAACTCCCACTGAATGTACCTACTGATGAATCATAAGAGTTAATCTTAGCATAGAAGTTAGTGGGTGGAGTGACAATGATTTGCGCGTGAAGCTACACCGTATCCATGTACCTGTCTTGTCCCCGCCAAAATTCCATCATGAAGCTGTTAGTGACGTGCCCCACTTTTGCCAACCGTTATTTCTCGAGCTCGATGCGGCGAGCTTCTCTTCACGTTCAACCACGAATCATCCCGGCAACAGTCACTCGATCCCTTCATTTCAATCCCATAAAAGCTACTACGCCATCTCCATAAAACATGGACGATGATTATGGCGCTGATGACGCCCTGCTAGAAGCAATGGCAGCTGTCGACTCGGTTCCTCCAGCACGCAGCTCCGTGAAGCAGCCCACGCCTCAAGTCATCGACAAACCATCCGCCAGTAACAGCTCCGCGAATACCGTCGTGCAGCCAAAGCCCCAGGTCATTCAGCAAAAGACCCTCGGGTCTGGCATCCTGGTGTCGCCTCGCCAACGCGGCAATCCTCTCTTGACCAGCATTCGATCGATACCGTGGGAATACAGTGACATACCGGCAGATTACGTCCTTGGGTTGACGACGTGTGCGCTCTTCTTGAGGTGAGAATCTTCCATCATCATCACAGACAAGCCATTGATACATACATACTTGCTAACGCCATGCCTGACCTCAGTCTCAAATACCACCGTCTTCATCCTGAATACATCTACACTCGCATTCGTAATCTCCAGGGCAAATACAACCTCCGTATTCTTCTCACCCTCGTTGATATCCCAAACCACGAAGACTCTTTACGCGAACTATCAAAGACTTCAGTTGTCAACAATGTGACTGTTATACTGTGCTGGTCTGCAGCCGAAGCCGCTCGCTATCTCGAACTCTACAAGTCGTACGAAAACGCCAACTTTTCTGCCATCCGCGGACAGCAGTCGTCCAATTATGCCGACAAACTGGTTGAATTTGTTACAGTACCAAGAAGTCTGAACAAGTCAGACGCCGTAGCTCTGGTTGCTAATTTTGGCAGTCTGAAGAATGCAATCAATGCAGAGCCAGAGCAACTGAGCATGATTAGCGGATGGGGTGGCGCCAAGGTAAAAAGATGGACTTCTGCGGTTGAAGAGCCGTTTCGAGCAAGGAAAGCAGCCAAGAGAGGCTTCCAGCCATCATCATCGTCAGCTGTGGCAGGACGTGATTCAAGGGCTGTGCCTGCAATTGCTGACACTGATCGGCCTTCTGGGTCAGACGCTGAAAAGTCCGGCTCTGGACCCCCAACCAAGGTGACATCACACGCTTCTTCTTCTAAATATGGCTCGCCTGGGGGCAGCGCGCCAGGCCGTCAACCGGGAAGCACACAACCTCCCGCGCAGTTTCACTTCTTGGACGAAGACGATGATTCTGATGAAGAGGAAGCATTTGCTACAATGAGCCGGGGAGAAGAGCAGGCGCCTTCTCAACCTACAAATCAACCCCAGGAGGAGCGCCAACCCAACAAAGAAAGTAGCCAGCTTAGTGAAGGCGTAGCAGCAGCATTGGCAAAGCTGCGTCAAAACGGGTGAAGACGCCCATTCGCTCGCATAAATTTCACATGCTCCCCCAACAGAAGTGGTATGCCTAGAGCGAATCGGCTCGCGATGGAGCGCCGCGAAACTGCCGAGAAAGAGGGGGAACTTGATGCGATCCGCGGGTCACAACACATGACGCTGCGTAATAGTAATACGCTGGACTCCGCACGGCGGTGCTTCTCTGGCCATTGTCTACAAATTACGGCCGCACATTGGAATCCAGACGCAGCGACTTGGCTTTGTTCGGACATTGAGACCTTGCAAGATCCGACGTGGGGTCAAGATTACCCTTGCATAAGACATACGTCGGCTATATTGAACCATACGTTGCATTATTGAGTCTACGTGGGAGCAATGCACCACCGATGCAGCACAAGCACGAGAACAGGTCGCAGCTATCTACAGATCGCTGTGCACACACCAGCCAGCGATCGATTCTTAGCGGCCTTCGCACCGGCAGCGATCCCCTCGAGTGGCGGCGCGTCTCAAAGCTTGTCCAACCAAAGCCGGACGGTTAAGCTTGTCCCTGGAGCTGAGGTTGAGATGCGGGGCTCGACCACAAGCCGGTTCCTGAAGTGCCGTCGCCAATCTGTGGGGGAATCCAGCTGGTGCTGATATCATCGCACGTACGAGTGGCGCCCGCGGCGCTAGGCAGTAAGAAGCAGGTTGAGCGGCTGTTGTTGTAAGTGGTTCAAGATGTTACGATTCAATGGACATTAGTTCGGGAGATATGCCGGATGTTTGCAAGTGAGGCGCTCAAATTCTGATCTGGCTGGTCGCTTGTTTCACGGAAATACCGCCAAGCCTTGCGTCCCGGCTTGCTTGATGAAGACAATTATCGTATACGACGCGTTACTCGCGCGTTCTTCTTTCACAACCTGCCATCCTCTGGAGTTTAGATGCAATGCCAATCTTTGAGTCTGATCCATGCGTGGGGTTGTCTTTGGTCGCTTCCCGCCCTCGACATTCCCAGGCTTACAACATACCACCGCACATGGTCTAAATGCCAGGATCAGCTCCGAATGGCACCTCATGATAGCTGCGTGTTGATTTAGGTTTCCCCTCTCCATCCCCCTGCAAAAGTGCCTAGGCTACCCCAGATGAATGAACATTGTCAAAATGACTTGTCACCAACGATCCTGGGTCCCGTTGATCCCATTGAGATGTCAATGTCGCAAAGAATTCCGTCATGGACAGAAACCACATGCAAGCTGCTGCTAGCTCTTGGTGTCACCTGCCTGCTGTGGCTCTGTCCACCGGCAATCCTCATCCACCCTTGGAGCTAAAGCGCATGATCCCGGCCGTTTCTTGAAGGAAAAGCATGCCGGACGGCCGTTGTCGCATCCCTGGACGGCGCCATGTCTTGAATGAGAAGTGTGGTGATTTATGCTTTGCACCCGCATGAACAATCCGTAGCATTGGTGGCTTAGTGTCGCATGAGGATCCCCATCATTCTCTGTGATCATGGTAGCAAAGGGAGGAGGAGGAAGAGGGGGAGAGAAATAATTGAAAAACACGGCCTTCCCGCCGCTGAATTGTGATCCGCAACCCGTTTCCGGCTTTGAGTTTGGACCCATCTCCCTCCTCCTACCGGCTGTGCTATCCTACAGAATCGGAGATTATCATCATGAGATTCATCAGTAGCTCCGTGCTTGCCTTTGGGCTTGTTGCACCAGCATTGGCATATCCTCACCCAGTCCCAGGCGCAAAACGCGGCTCACCCAACCCTACAAGGGCGGCAGCGGTCAAGGCCGCATTCCAGACGTCATGGAACGGCTACCGCCAGTTTGCTTTCCCTCATGACGATCTCCATCCAGTTAGCAACACGTTTGATGATGAGAGGTAAGTTGTTGGGTGTAAATTCCCCGAATCTATGGGGTAAAACGGCGCCATTGTGTTTCTAACTTTGGCCTAGAAACGGCTGGGGCTCATCAGCGATTGATGGCCTGGACACGGCGATCCTCATGGGAGCGACCGATATTGTCAACACGATTCTGCAGCGTGTGCCTCAGATCAACTTTACCACTACTGCGGTTGCCAACCAGGGCATTTCTGTCTTTGAGACCAACATCCGATACATTGGTGGCATGCTAGCCAGTGAGTTTCAATGCGTGCCTCGTGTTAGTGGCAGCATGTACTAATTGCTATGATTTACATAGGCTACGACCTGTTGAAAGGCCCATTTAGCTCGTTGGTGTCAAACCAAACTCTGGTGAACAACCTCCTGACCCAGGCCCAAACGCTGGCCAATGGACTCAAGGTTTCGTTCAACACCCCAAGTGGTGTGCCAGATCCTACCGTCTTCTTTAATCCCACTTTCCGGAACAGCGGTGCATCAAGCAACAATGTTGCCGAAATTGGAACGTTGGTGCTTGAGTGGACGCACTTGAGCGACCTCACAGGAAACCCGTTATATGCCCAGCTTGCTCAAAAGGGCGAGTCGTATCTCCTTAACCCCAAGGGAAGCGCACAGGCATGGCCTGGCCTGGTGGGAACGTTTGTTAGCACAAGCAACGGCAACTTCCAGGACAGCAATGGCAGCTGGTCGGCTCTGTCCGACAGCTTCTACGAGTATCTGATCAAGATGTACTTGTATGACCCGGTTGCGTTTTCAAACTACAAGGATCGCTGGGTTCTTGCTGCCGACTCGACCATTGCCCACCTGGCGTCTCACCCAAGCACTCGTAAAGACCTCACCTTTTTGTCGTCATACTCTGGACAATCAACTTCGCCAAATTCAGGACACTGTAAGTTTCCAAATACAAACAAATGGCAACATTTAGCTGACATGTCTTCTCAGTGGCTAGTTTTGCTGGTGGCAACTTTATCTTGGGAGGCATTCTCCTAGGCGAGCAAAAGTACATTGATTTTGGCATCCAGCTTACCAACTCGTACTATGCCACGTACAACCAGACTGCTTCTGGAATTGGTCCCGAAGGCTTCAACTGGGTGGACAGTGTGACGGGCTCCGGTGGCTCACCTCCCTCATCCCAGTCCTCCTTCTACTCCAAGGCCGGATTCTGGGTATCGGCACCATACTACATCCTGAGACCCGAGACCCTGGAGAGCTTGTACTACGCCTACCGAGTAACGGGCGACTCCAAGTACCAAGACTGGGCATGGGCGGCTTTCAATGCCATCAGCAAGGCGTGCCGCGCCGGCAGCGGGTACTCGTCCATCAACGACGTGACACAGGCGAATGGCGGAGGTGCCTCTGACGATATGGAGAGCTTCTGGTTCGCCGAGGCGCTCAAGTACGCGTATCTCATCTTTGCCGACGAATCGGCTGTGCAAGTGAACCCCAATGGCGGGAACCAGTTTGTGTTTAACACGGAGGCACACCCCTTTAAGATTCGTCAGTGAGGTCTTGTCTTTGGATATATATGAGAGGATGATTGTGGATATGTGAATATGAATAAAGCCATCAAATATGAATCGCTAGAAATAGACTATTCGTTTGAACTACAAGACGACCGCATGTTAAAGTTGTAAGTGAATCATGTTTGATGCTGAGTAAGATCTATTATACAGTCCAGCAAAGTAAAGTATGGTAAGATTATAGTAAGCAGATGCTGCTTAGGGTATGAGTGGATTTTGCCTTTTGCTCCTCGCAATTCAACTACCTTGATTGCTCTTCGCTCCCAGAAACATAAAACAGAGAAGAAAATCACCAGAACCATCTATCAACAACTTAAAACTCCCTGCTCTGACCAATGTCGCAAACATCGAACACGCCCTCCTCCGCAATGCCTTTCCGCTTCAACGCCTCCTTAAGCTGCCTCGGAGGCTCCAGCACCTCCTCCATCGTCAAAGCCCAAGTACCCCAATGAATCCCCATTGCCTTTTCGCATTTCGTATCCTGGAAAATCTCGACTGAATCAAACGGATTCGCGTGCATGGCGGAAAACGCAGCGCGGGGATAATACGCCCCGATGGGGATCAAACCTAGATCAAACGGCCCGCGGTGCTCGCCAATCTGCTTGAACTGGGGACATCGTGGCAGAGACTCGTATTCAGGGCCGTAGTCGTCGACGCTGGCTGGGAGGTGAGGGACTGCGCGGTATCCCGTGTCGCCGCCGAACCAGACGTTCTTGTCGCCGGACTTGACGCCCCACGAGCACCACAGCGTCGTGTCCTTGTCGAACGCCGTTCTGGCGGAAGTGTGTTGACATGGGAGACACGAGATTTGGGCCGAGATGGACTTCTTCTCGCCGTTGATGGGGGTTGTGACGGTGAGAGTGGCGTCTTCCCACCAGTCCAGCTCGGTGACGTTGTTGAGGCCGCTGCGGCGGAACCAGGATTCCAGGCCGAGACCGACGAAGAATTGCACGTCGGGGTGGTGCTTCTGGATCTCGAGGACGGAAGAGTGCGACAGGTGGTCGTAGTGGCTGTGGCTGATGACGACGGCGTCGACGACGGGGATGTCTTTGAGGTCGCAGGGCTTCGGGGTGAAGCGCTTCGGACCCATGAATGCGAATGGCGAGCAGCGGTCTTCAAAGACAGGGTCGAATAGGACACGCAGACCAGAGGGGAATTCGACGTAGTAGCACGCATGGCCCAACCACGTCGCGCGGAGTTTGTCAGAAGCATCACGAGCAGGAAGCCACTGAGGAGGAACGACAGGTACGGTGGGAGGTTTCGTGTCTGGCCACTTGAGGTCGCCGGTGATGGTTGGCCAGAAGACGGTCGACCACATGTTTGTGACGCTGGGCGGGTTGGACCATGACGGGTAGGGGTTCTTGAAGCCGGAGATGTGGCCGCCGCGCTTGAGGATGTGGTGAGGGTTGGAGAGGGCCTCGGCGGGGATGTTGTTGCGGCCGGCGATTTTGAGGACAGAAGTTGTTGATGGGTGAGATGATGATGGATGAGAGGAGATTGTGGATGATGTTGATTTGCGCGTCATGGCTGTGGCGGTTGTTGCTGTTGCTGCGGCGGCAAAGACGAAGGCGAAGAGGGAGATGCGTTTGTTTGTGTTTGAATTGGAGTTTGAATTTGAGGATCTGGTGATGGTGTTGAGGGTGAGGCTGATGGTGTTGTAGCGTTGCCACAGCTTGGGGAGGAGCTGCGTGCGGAACTGCGACATTAGAGATGGGAGAGAGAGAGAGAGAAGACAGCAAGGGGGAAGCTATCGACTCTATATTATATATTACGACTCGACGACTTCAACTGACTGGGGTTGGAAAAGGGAAAAAGAGGGATCATGGGGACTGGGATGGGAAGATTCCCTCTCTATCTCTAGCTGGACTCGGGCGATGGAAGGGAAGGGATGGGCTGCGTCATGCTCCTCCAATGCAAGCCACAATCCAGCAAAGCAAAGCAAGCGAAAAAGGAATTAAAATGATTCATTGTGTGTACTCGTACTATGGATGTGTTGGTCCGCATTGGTTTTTGCTTAACGCGGATTAGGCCCAATCCCGCCAAGGGTTCAAGCTTCGAAAAATGATTCAAAACCAACCAGACATTATGCCACTGCAATGCCACGTTCCTTCGTCCGTTTTTTTGCCTTACCTCCGTAGGGCTGGGGCTGCTGCTTGGGCTAGGTAGAAACAAAGCAAATGGAGAGAGGGAGAGACATCGACGGAGTTAAAACAAGCGAGTGCGAGTCCGGCACCAAAAAGGGACCCCTTGCGGAGCTGGAATTGGAGCTTGGACTGGGCTCGTCTGATTAGTTTTTCTTTCCTTTCTTGGGTGATGAGATGCGGATGGGATTCATTTTTTTAGTGGAAGGATTTTGGCTGACTGGCTGGCATCGGTTGGGATACTTCAGTTTGTCTGTGAATTATCTAATTTGTCCGTCCTTTATCTACTAGACAGTGGCCCATTCATTGTAAGTATTGACGCTGGCTGCTACAAGTTCCAGTCCAGTCCATCATACTCCGCCGCTCTATCTACAGTACAGCCATAAGAAAGAAAAAAAAAAGACTCCATATTATAAACCCGCACTTCATCGGACCTGCGCGGCCCGCAAAGGCATCCAAGATACGAAATTCCCCTGTACTGTACTAAGCGGCGCTTGTATTAACTCCGCCCGTCCGCTGGCTGGGCGCTTGTCCGGGCGGGCGAATGAGCGGCGCTGGGCCGCGTTTTTACGGAAAATTCAAGCGTCTTACAGTATGATCCCTGCCCTGGTTTTTTTGGTCCGTGGCTTCACAAGTCTATCTGTGTGCAGTCAGAGTGCTGACGGACGGGTCTAGGCTGAGTTTGGACTCGATGGCTTTTTGATGTACTCATCATGTCAGTCAGCAGAGCACATCTCAATTCTTCGTGGTGTTTGTCATTAAGTAATCTGGCGTTCCTGGTATGCAGGAATTGTGCATAGTGGTACTATCATCATCATCATCACCACAGTCATCAAATCACATGTCAAGAGGAAACCCCATCAAAGCTGCTCAACTCAACACACAGGGAATTCTATCCCAGGTGAAAAAATGTCATTGACCCTGCTAATCTAAAAGCGTTTGCGCTCGCACACTGCACCCGCATTTACATCGTAACCAAACGTGTAAACGCAAGATACACAGCCATGGCTATTCCAACCATATAAACGCTCCGCCTTCAATCCAGCACCAAAAAACTCGACAGCAATGTCCCAGCTTTAAATGGCCAGTCTCTCGACCTTTTGCTGCAGAGCCTTGATCTGGCCAGACAGCTCAGACAGCTCGTTGGAGCTGATGCTGGCGGCAATCACGGCACGGCTCACACCGCAGGCGCGGCCCAGCAGGGTCTTGCTGGGGACGTACACGTACGGGACGCCCTTGTCTTCGCAGATGAGAGGGATGTGCAGGATAATGGCCAGGGGCTCGGTGTCGGCAGCAAGGACGGCAAGCTCGCAGGTTCCACGGTTGATAGCCTTGGTGACTATAATCGAAAAAAGTTAGCCACCATTGGAACCGCAGATTCAAGGGGAATATCAAAACATACCTTCGTTGGCACCCTTCTTAGCCTGACGGATGTGCATGGCCGACTGGAGGAGATCCAGAATCTCCTGGGTCAAGGCCGCATCGGCCAAGGGCCAAGCTGCAAAAAGAAACAAAACCCGTTAGCCTAAGCAATTGAGAAGAAAAGAATGAGAGCAATGGCTTACCTGCTTCATTGGCGTTTGACATTTTTCACGATGTAGGATAAAAGGGGGGCTCGCCCGAACAAGGCTCACGGCCGGATGTGTGTTTTGAGGGAGGTTTGGAAAAAAGTTGGATTGGTGAAGAGACGAGATGCGCTTCTCGGAGGAGAGAGAAAAAAAAGTTGGCGATAGCTATGGTGGAAAAGCTTATCGATCGAGCTAGTGGATAAGCAAATTTTCCGTTCGTCACGTGCAGCTGCACCAAAGCGGTGCACTTGCTTGAAGACAGTGACGACGATAAAGTGGGTCGTTTAACTGCCTCAAATGGAAATGGAAACGGCTGAGCATCTGGACTTGTACAGAGCCATCAATCAAGCAGTGTGTAATTGCTTCTTTTTGTTAATTTGTATATGTGGTATAAATTGGTTAGAATAGATTAATACGTGGAAAGGGTCCAATATATTTGGTTGGTATTGTTTATTTTTATTATTGATACAAGCTATGCCGTGATGCTTTATACACTATTAATGATACACTGTCTATGCCGGAATGCTTTTACACCTTCTTGGGTCCAACCATGAGCTCGGGCTTAACGAGCTCATCAAACTCCTGCTCGGTCAGTGCCTGCAGCTCCATGGCACTCTGCTTCAGCGTCAGGCCCTTTTTGTGCGCGTTCTTGGCCACCTTGCTGGCCATGTCGTAGCCAATCTTGGGGTTGAGGCAGGTAACCAGCATGAGCCTATGATGAAAGTTAGTCGTGCAATCTGAGAGGCATTAAGAGTAACAAAGAGACTTACGACTCCTTCATGATGCTGGCAATCTTCTCCTCGTTGGCCTGCAGCCCGACGACGAGATTCTCCTCAAACGACCGCATTCCGTCGGCAAGGATGCGCGAGCTGTGCAGCAGGTTGCGGATAATCAACGGCTTGTACACGTTGAGCTCAAACTGGCCGTTCATGCCGCCAATGGTCGTGGCGACGTTGTTGCCCATGACCTGAGCGCAGACCATGGTGAGGGCCTCGCACTGCGTGGGGTTGACCTTTCCGGGCATGATGCTGCTGCCGGGCTCGTTCTCGGGCAGAACCAGCTCGCCGAGGCCGCATCGGGGACCGCTGCCGAGGTATCGGATGTCCTGGGCAATCTTGGTCAGAGAGGCGGCCAGGGTGTTGAGGCTTCCGTGGGCCTGGACGACGGCGTCGTGGGCAGCCAGGGCCTCAAACTTGTTGGGGGCAGTCTGGAAGGTGATGCCGGTCATCTTGCTGACCTCCTCGGCGATACCCTCGGCAAAGCCCTCAAAGGTGTTGATGCCGGTGCCGACAGCGGTGCCGCCCTGGGCCAGCAGCTTCAGGTCGGGCAGAGAGCTCTCGACACGCTTGATGCCAAAGTCGAGCTGGGCAACGTAGCCGGAGAACTCCTGGGCCAGGGTGAGAGGGGTGGCATCCTGCAAGTGGGTGCGTCCAATCTTGATAATCTTCTTGGCCTCAAAGTCGTCGACCTTGGCCTGCAGAGCAGCTCGGAGGCTGTGCAGGGCGGGCAGCAGGTCGCGCTCCAGCTCGAGGACGGCGGCGATGTGCATGACGGTGGGGAAGGTGTCGTTGGACGAGGCGCTGCGGTTGACGTGGTCGTTGGGGTGGACGGGCTTCTTGGAGCCCATGGTGCCGCCGAGGATCTCAATGGCGCGGTTGGAGATGACTTCGTTTGCGTTCATGTTGGACTGGGTGCCGGAGCCGGTCTGCCAGACGACGAGGGGGAAGTGGTCGAGCAGCTTGCCGTCGGCGACTTCTTTTGCGGCCTGCTGGATGGCCACGCCAATCTTGGGGTCTGTTGGTGATGAAGAGAGTTGTCATTAGCCTTCTTCTGACGGTGTTGTGTCTTCCCAATCTCAACTATCCTGTACACATACCAAGTCCGTAGCGCATGTTGACCGTGGCCGCGGCGCCCTTGAGAATGCCAAAGGCCGTAATCACCGGCGGCGGCATGCGGTCCTGCGGCTGGTTGATCTTGAAGTTGCCCAGCGACCGCTGCGTCTGGGCGCCCCAGTACTTGTCGGCGGGCACTTCGATCTCGCCAAAGGCATCGCTCTCGACTCGCTTGTCGGCCATGGTGACTCTGGTGGCGTGAATGGCTCTGGCGCTGGCGGGGATTGTTTTATTAAGAATAATGTTGGAGTTGATGCTCTGCGGGGTGAGGCTGTGGGAGAGAGGGGAGGCGCTTTTCTGCCACAGGCGAGACCCGGCGATCGCACCCGACGCAGCTCTTGCCGACGCTCTCCGAAGCATTTTTGTTTGGTGTCTACTAGGTAGTAGTAATTACTGTATACAAAAAAGGGAGAGGTGAGGCTATTCGGTCAATTGGGTCGAATTGGACGGCGCAAAATGTGGTGCACTGTACAAGCCAATTGCAGTATTCCACTGTTTGTTATTAGAAGACAGCTGTTGTATAAGAGAACAAAAAGAGAAGAAAAAGAATACGGCGGGAAAAAAAAAAAAGGGCAAGGATGCTCACCGGCTCAACAAATGCCGGGCAATCGGATCGGGAACGAACGAGGGAAATAATCGGAGCCCGGGTGCCCAGCTCCTTAGCATGTACCGCCCCCCGCGAAAATACCTCACGGAGCTACTTCCATGTTTCCTTCATGCCCGGAATCTCCCACCTCGGGTACCATCAGGTATCAATTGACCTCTGGTATACCTTCCAAACATTACGTTGCTTTGACTTTGACTTTGACTTTGAGATTGCCTTTTCCTCTCTTGTTTATTCATTCATTTTATTTATAACTTTTACTTCCATGGCAAAGCATCGAACCAAGTTCTTTTGAGCTTGTTACAGCCATCAAGGGAACAGTCCCACTCTTGTTATCTTTGAGCAGATACGCCACTGTGCAAACAAAGAACTGGATGATATCAGATGATCTGAACAGGATTGCATATTGACGCCCATTCGTAAATATTGATATCTTCTTTGTAATTTGCATGGTCACGAGCTCTTATAGACTATAATTGTAGCTCCAATCAGAGGGATCACAGTGGAATCACCCACGAAAGAAACAAAGGCAAGGAAAATGAAACGAGAATACCAGGGGCATTAAGCTGAAAATACAAGCAAGCAAGCTAAATGACTACAAACTAGATTGTGTGGTGATGAAGAAAGACAAAAAATGTGTGGCTGTAGTGGACGAGAGGGGGAAACAAGTACGTGTACTTGAGGTCTTTACTTTCACACGTAGACATCACCAAATGAATGAAACCTAGGATTGGTGTGTAATAATTTGCATAATCTCTCTCTAGCTACCTTAAAAGCCGTACCATGGTATGTTAAAAAGACCATGGTCGGCCGATAACCTTGAGTATCTCTTAATTGCTTATTAAGGGTGAAGCATTTGAATCTTCCATTCTTGGATAGCGAAACTACATGTAACTGATCGATACGCGAAGAGCCATGCTGAGATTCCTGAGTGCGCTCAGGGTGTTTTCGAAAGAGTTCCATAAGATCGAGATCAGCAAGTATTTGCTTTGGTCTTGGATGACCTTTCCTAAACTAAAATGTCAGAAATTTTCCCCATAAACTTGGTGGCGTGGAAGATTCTACTCACTGAGAAGTTTGATATTATCCTCAAGTGCGACAAGATGCTCATAAATCGCTTTACCATACTCGGGCGCCTTCTGTAATTGAGAATAAAGCGAGTGTTGAGAACAAGGCGCGTCTTCTTCTTCTTCTTCTTCCTTAGGTGGATCAGCCTCGAGAACCCATTTGAAAAACTTTGCGCTTTGCTTTTCAGCCTCAGAGGTGTCGGCCCATATAGAGTCGCCTCTGTGTAGGGTGTCCAGAGATTTGCAACACCGATCACTAATGTTCTGGATGTTTGTTATCATCTCAAGCGGAGGTAAGAAAACGGGCGTCCTAGAGCTTTGCATAGCTATTGAGTTAGAATCGTGTGATGAAAAAATTAACCAGAAGAGGTTTTACGGTGCTTCAAATCTTGGGAGAAAGGCTGCTTTATGTAGAGGCATGTACCTACCAAGCGTTCCTCCGTGATCCGTGCTTGAGCACATTCCTTTGACGCATGCATTTGACACACCCCAGCAGTAAAGAACTCCTCTTTGTTAATGCTTTAGCTGCCAAACGCCAAAGCTTCTGCTTTATATTTGTCATTCTTTGTATATTCCCTGTTAACATATGGGGTACAAAGAAATATCATTTTCTCAGACCATAGTTAGCGTTTCAGGTATTAACAAAGGGCGAACGAGACATTTTTTGAAGCGCTGAAATTGGCCTGGCCTAATTGTGTGATGAGGAAGGAGAAGAAGAAAAGAAAGAATATGTAGTTGTAATGGATGAGAAAAAGAATCAACTATCTGAAGTGAGTACATACATAAGCTGACCACGCGTAAAACTCAACATTGAACACTTGAGCAGGCCAAGGCAGAACTATTTGCGCAATTGCGGGCATCGTCCGAACTTTTTCTTTCATAGATGCCACCTCTTTCCATCGATTTCATGGTCGCTGCTATCATTTCTCTTGGCTTCCAATTGTGTGTCGTCCTATTCGCCGGCTAACTCTTCTCCCGATTTAAATGGGAGCCGAATCAAGGACACCGAGACGAAATGATCCCCGACATGTTTCTCCAAAGCTTCGTACATCTCACGGCCCTCTCGGTCTAAGTTTTCTTTGGCAATTTCTGATGGAAATTCGCCGCAAAAGGGACACTCTTGAAAAAGTGTTTGACCGTACACCTTAGAATGATTGACGGCGGTAGGACGAAGTTCTTTGGAAAGAACATCTCCGTGGAAATCTGTGAGGTGGCTTTCTAAATCTCCCGGAGTCGAAAAGTTTCCAGAAGAGGAGGAGTCTTGACAGTACCAGCAATACCATTCTGGTCTTGTGTGCCTCTTACGCATATGCGCGAGCCAGTCATCATATGTATCGCCACAATTGATCGGTGAGGAACAGGTTTCATTTACGCAGAAGAAAGGCCCGAAGTCGTGGATACTATGATCCCTAGGTGAGACGAATCACTATGTGAACAAGAACACAAGAAATAGCGCGACCTTCAAAATCATGCATGTACTCACCTCCATTCTCTTGGTCCACTGGCTTGTTCCAGATTTGGCATCGAGGAAAGAGTTCCCGTCGAAACATTCACGGATGTGGTGGATGCCGCACGCTCGTTCTGGGATGGTTGAAGATTTTCCGTGTCTGGCTCGGTAGTAGTCATCATCGTGACTGACTGTGTCACGCTTGGTTGGGCGTTGGGGTTCCATTTACGTGTGAAGGGAGCCATACCGTCCGTCGTTCTTTGATGCTCAATCGGCAATGTTTCTTGAGCGCTCTTCTCTTCCATGGACTCCGGCTCTTTTTGTTGCAACGCTGGCACCGGTTCACCTCGTCTTGAAGTCTTCTGTTGATGCTCTTCGAGACAAACAAACCAGATTTGGCGTCTTGCAATTACCTGAGCTATGCGCTTCTGGAGTGCTGCACTAGCTTTGGGAAAGAGATGATCGACCTTTTGCTTTGCACATTTCTCAAACGACTCATACAGTTCTTCGTTGCGAGGCAGATTCTTGAACTTTTCAGTTCGTTCCTGGCGATGATCATTTCCAACTCGACGAACCATGACGGCCATCTGACGAAGAGTGGTCATGAGGGTCTGAACAGAAGTCCAGGGGCCTGGTACTTCGTCGTCTTCAGATTCTTCAGATGATGATGAGAGTAGCTTGCACGGAGAGGAGGACCGATCTGAAGAGCAATCGGATTTGCTGTCGTGTTGGCTCTCTTCTTCATCACCCTCTCCTTTGGAGATCTTTTCTACGTTAAATCATCAGCAAATTCTCACCTAAGCTAGATCAGCATGAAGAGTACTAATTACCAAGTTTGTACTCGAGCACGGTGAGAAGTTGTCGAGTCAGATTATCCAGACTAGGTCGCTCTTTAAACGAGAAGTAATCGACTTTCGGCCTTCATCGAACACACCCATATCCGCAACCCATATATTAAAGCTCGCCATTTCCTCTCTTGCCTCAGCGGCGTTGGTGTTGCCGTCCTTTGACAGACCGTGTAATAATGCCTTGCATCGAGTTGAGGCGTCCCGGATGTCTGATATCATCTCATCCGAAGTCAGGATAACGGACAGCTCCCCGTTCTCCATGGTTATTACATTAGGGTCGCTTGATAACGGAACAATAACAGAGGTTTGTGAAGCGCTCTAAGTCTTACCTTCATGTGGGTAGGAATAAGGACAGCTTTTTATACCTAAGTAAGAGTATCAAGCATTAATCCGTGCTCGAGCCTAATCCTTTGATACTCATCAGTAACAAAGAACTACCTGCCCTTTGTCAATTTTATAGCTGCCTAAAGCTAGGGCTAATACTTTACATTTATCATTCTTGTTTCCTTCCCTTGTCGGACTGCGAAAAGATATAATTGACTTTTGCTTCACGCAGCTCTCAAGTAATTTATATCAAGTTTTATTGATGGTTATTTTCGTTGAATTGTTTTAATATTCCATAGCCAAACTACATGTACATTCAGCTTCAAATGTTGTGTCGCGATAAAACCGGACCCGTCAGTTACCCAATGAGTTATTATCCTCGATATCGTCACAACTTCCACAATGGCGGATAACATAGGCCACATCCGTGAGTGCGCTTATGATATTTCCGGCAGACATCCATAAATGAAACTGAACCGAGGCTTTTCCTTCTGCTTGAGCGATCATTTCTAAACTAAATGCTAGAGATTTTGCACTTAAATTGGGTGGCGTAGAAGATTTTAGTTACTAAGATTTTGCTCAAGTGCGGTGAGAAGCATGCTAATCAATTTACTACAGTCGGACGCCTTCTTCAATTGGGAATCAACCAATTGTTTCGTTTCATGATCGGATATACCCATACATATAATCCAGTAGGTGAGCATTGCCTGGTTTCTTGTAGCCTCGTTTGTTTCGGGATATAGAAGGCTGTCACCCCTTAGGCTCGTCAGATGTGTGTAACACCGACTCGTTATCTCTCGGATGCCTGATATTATCTCATCCAAAGTCGGTTCAACAGACGGCTCCTTATTCTCCATGGTTGTCGTATCAGGCTTGCTTGATTAAAAATAAATTAGAGGGGTTTCACGGTGCTCCGAGTCCTAGGAGTAAAGGTTGCCTTATATACTCCAAATGTTTGCAGGTAAGGTGGGTATGTAGGTAGCAAGTAAAAGTAAATGTATCAAGTATTGATCCGTGATCTGTGCTTGAGCGCATGCCTTTGACGCATGCCTTTGACACACCCCGGCGGTAAAGAACTGTTTGCTCTTTGTTAATATTTGTAGCCGCCAGGAAGCTAAGGCTTCTGCTCCATATTTATCATTCTCTTTGTATTGTCAGTGGGGTTACGGAGTATAGAGTAATATCATGTTCAAATCTTAGACTGCGGGCATCCTTTCAGAAACTCACGCTGGATGGCTGAGGCGTGTTTCAAAGCACTGACGCTGAACTTACCTCGCCAATGAAAGGACAGTCCTCTTCATGCTAAGTACAAGGCACCTTTGAGGCTTGACTCAATATGAGTTGCTCGAGATAGCGCCTAGTCACGGACAGTCCCCCCCCCAAACAAAGAGACCCCTTTATGAGTACTATTTCCCATCTGCTCGCAGAATTTTTAATGGCAGGATGCGAAAATTACTGTCAAAGAACTGGGAGTACTTTTGTCATATCTACTAGTTCTATCTGCTGGTTTATCCTTTTTTCACTAATGTACATAGATTCATATTTTCTAAATCTAGAGCGCCCCTTGTAGAGTTCCACCTAATCTGCCCTCTTTAACTTTATCTCGGCAGCCTACACTCCTACAATCGAACTTTTCATCTTGTTATGTAAGTTTCCAACCCTTCTACAGAAACATTAGTTTTTCCTTATCTATTGATGGTGTGACCTTCAATTTTCGTTGGCGTAGCAGGTCTTCAACTGGTGATTGGTACATACATCATATGTACTCTTGGTTGTAGAGTTGGGCGGGCTAAGGAGACCTCAAAGCCTCTATATGTTCATTTGACTAAATTAAGATCATATTCTACATGATTCCATTTCTCGCTCCATTACATTCATTTATTCTCTTCCTTCGACGTCGTACGTCGTCCATTTTGACGGATGTCATACTCTGCCTCCATAATTCCGAACCCCTAATAGTTGAAATCAGTGTCTCCCATATTTTTTTACAGCCTTTGGTATCTCTTTGGAATGATGTTGATTGGTTATGAGCTCGAAATTATTGGTGCGCCTCTCTGTGCTTTAGGTTTTCTGTTCCACTGGCATTAAGGGGAACACCGCGACACCACAGCAAACTTTCATGTACGATGAAGTTTCCCTGTGTGGCCACCATGCCTTAAACTTTTCTTTCTGAGGGTTTCCATTTATTTTCCCAGGCTTTCACGTTGGAAAACTTTCCGTTCTAAAAATTTTCCAACCCGACTCCCTGTATAAAGCTGCTTCCCATCCCACGGAGCCCCTGATAAACTCTACCCATCCATTCTCTTGTTGCATTATCTCATCCTTATTATTACCCGCCTGACATCTAGTATGGGTATCCGCAAGAATATCTGTCGACTCTTCTGCCTAGGGCCCCGTGAGCCCGAGGCTGAGCAATCACCCCGTCCGCTCCAACACTGGGAGATCCGTAATGGTATCATCGGCATGATCACAGAGCACCTTGACCAAACTCCTCTTGTTTGCTTTGCTACCGTCTGCCCAGACTTCCACGATGCCTATTTCCCCCTTGCTATCGCGAAGCAAAAGAGAATCCAAGTCGAGTTAGGAAGAGTCCCGGTTAGGGACTACTGCTGCTCCAGCTGCGACGCATATCATCCATTGCGGCAAGAATATTGGTTCAATGCCCAATTCTTTACCTGCAATGACTTTCATGGCGGACATCTAGACCCTCAATCTCTACCAATGAGAGGATTTGATTATTCGCTCAGTGTGCCTTTCGAGCTCGCACGAGAAATTATGAATAGTCACCTCGATAAGTCTGGCGACGACTATCCGGTTGAACAATTAGTGCCTCATCATCCCTTGACAACTTATCAAGAAAATGTGGCCTATTCTAGATCATGGTACGCTCGGATTGTCGACGACCAACTGGTAATTCACTCTTACACTGCCTTAACCCTTACCACCGATCGTAGGTTATCGGGAAACAGCATCGACATGGGAATAATTTCTATTTGTCGTCATGTAAACACCGGCCGGTTGTTACTTGTCCATCGAAGCCCCCCTCAGGAGAATTGTTTCTCTAGACGTCACGGTTCTGTCCTATCCTGTCCCATATGCGTTACAGACTACTCCATTGACGTTATTTGGAAAGGAGGGCATTGGGTTGTTGAAATCTCTACATATCACGTTCTTGAAACTACGAAAACGAAGACGAAGACGGACTGGACCTGGGATGTCATGTCCTATTGTCCAGACGAGGCCCGCAAATCACCACGATTCAGGAAGATGATGGGGACACCGCCAGGAATTGCGATGCACAAGTGGCGCGTACGGAACGCCATGGCCCTTGACTGGAGGTCAGAGGGGGATTGGGCGCCTCAGCCAGCGGTCCATTCTGACCCAAATTACTTGGATCGGCCTGTTTATGTGTAGCAGCTTTGGGTAGGACTAAATGAGAGGTGTTGCAGTTTTCCATATTTCAGTTGGCTAGTTTCTACATTTGTAGCGAACCAAAGGCGTGACTGAGAGAAGTGGGCGTATCTTCGTTGTGCCATAGTTAGAAGAATGAGCAGTTATAGTGCCGTGGGCTTCTTATATGAAGATCTATAGCTCATAAGTCTCGTTCTTTTAAACTCTTGTAGTCAGAATTCCAACGTCGTAACTAATGTTTGAATGCAATACAAGATTCCTCCCCTTCTTCACCCAGTGGATATTCATCAAAATCAGGATCAACCTCCATGTCGTCGAGCAACACATTTTTAGACACCTCTCCATGCTCCCATTCTTCTTCAGAGTCTTCATCATCACCTTCGCCGGTGAGAAAGGCCGTTCGGTGAGAGAATAGCTCAGTTTCAACATCGCCGTCCCTCTTAGTTCGAATGACATGCAGTCTGTACGCAAACACAACACCGGGTGCAGTCTTGTAACTGTCATTCTTGCTTTGCTCCCTGTTGACAGCAACATCGCCTCCACCCGAAAGAGTAAGAGGGCCTGTCACTGTAGACGTAGATGCTCCCACTGATGTCGAGTTTTTCGTCCCGCTTTCGCTCGTCACTTGAAAGGAATCTTTGGCGATTCGCAATCCTGAGATGATATACACGGGCCGCTTATTGCCAAAGATGCCGCCGTCTATATGCTTCTTTACCTGAGCCAAACCAACGATTGCTTTCAAGACGTTTTCACTCATGCCACCATCAAATACTCTCGTTTCGAGGTTCACACTACCATATGTCGTTTTGGTGAAGCGGGATGCAGTCACGTTTCCGACTGGCAAGGCTAGACTCACGAGTTTGAGGAAAGCTTGCGTGGTAAGTGACGTACTCTTGCTCTGAGAGTGAAGGTGGTCAGGTTCGGTGAAAGTATTGATCTTGGGGAGGACAATTTCTGGATGAGATGCTGAATTTAGTGAGGCGAGCGAGAGTGTAGGCCTGTTTGGATGCGGTATAATTGAGCCTAATGAAATCTCGCCATCAGGAAGAAAGTTGAAGCTAGGTGGAAAGAACCAGATTGGCTGAGCCATGGTTAATGGAGTAGTGCGGATTCGTGGATATATATTATGTCCGTTTGGTAAATGTTGAGGTATTTTTAATTTCGAATGTGATGATTGCAAAAGCCTGATTGTCAAGTACATGCATTAGCCACTTGATTCTATTGGCTACTATTATATTATAGAGTGCGAAATGATTGGACAGAATACAGGTTTGGAATTATGTATTACAGCAGTATTAGAACCACATGGACTTATCTACGAGTGGCAATGCATAAATAGATACAAAAAGAATGGCTCTGAATTTTCATAAACTTCAAGTGAACAAAAGTCTCTTCTACTGTCCCAATATTGTATTGCTACCGGTATATAAAGCAACCCCAGATACCGTACGGACATCATCAAGCAGCTTGGGAATACCATTATCTTAAATCCAATAAGTCAAACACTTCAAGACGTATTTGCTTGCTGAGAGCTGACACGTTGCAGACATGAATGAATCACAGAGTATCTCGTAAGATGCTTGGCGGAGTCTTGGTCTGATGTATCCCTCCAGAACGATATTGGGTCTACAAACCACATCCGACTGCCGTCATTTTTCTTCGCCATGGACTTGAACAGCGCTTCCATGCCGCTCTTTCTTCGAAGCAGCTGAAGTCGGTGTAATTCATGGTCTCCCTTTGCAAATGGTTCGAGACAGGGCAAAAGATCTGCATATGCAATCATGGTAGCGCAGATAGCCGCTGCTACGGCTGTGGCAATTGATGATCCGGGTTGACAAACCCCAGGATGCTTCGCCTGTATATCTGCGCAGAATTTGTCTGGAACGTCACTTCCGTAGGTGCCCCATATAGCAGCGGCCCCATCAGGCAGCCGAGGATTTGTCTCCATGAACGTGCCGCGACAATTGGCAGCATAGATAGATATCACTGAAGAGTGACGAGCCGGAAAGTTTTCATCCTCAAAAGAGGAGTTGCCGGCACTCGCTAAGAATAATACAGATTCCTTTCGTTCCGACTGGACTGTTCTAATAGCATTATCAATGCCTTTGTGATCTCTTGGGAATCCAAAGGACATGGAAATGATATCAGCCTGGCATTTCACACCGGCCCATAGAATTGCCTATTACACATCAAAGTGTTATTGTTGTGATACAAATATGTTACGCTGTAGATGATGTTCACTCACCTCTTTGATGTTATCCTGGCTAACTTTCAGATCTTTTGTGTTCTTCGCCACACGGGCTATAATAATCTCAGCTGAAGGGGCACAATGCCTAACGAGTCTTGCCATCAAGGTGCCGTGACCAAATGTGTCAGTCATATTGTTGGCCGAGCCGTCAACAAAATCTCGTTTACTCTTAATATGCCATGATGCGCTGCCGTTATCGCCTTCGTCGTTGCCAGTATCTAAGATTGCTACGCGGATCGCCGTTTTCACTTCGTGGGTTCGCCGTTGCCGTTCAATTATCGTTCCGATGGAATTTAAATCCTTAAGCCACTCCTTGGGCTTTACCGTATTCCCAGAATGAAAAGACGCCTCGAGCTTGGATAGTTCGCCCGGCACCTCTGTATCCAAAGGGACTGCTCTTGGTTTCCTGCGAATGTAGAGTGTGTTTCCAATTTTATGTCCAAAGCCAGTCTCAGCAAGGTACTTTAGCGGACGCACCACATTCTTGTAAAATTTCTGTCTTCGTGCCAGAATACCTTGTTGTTTATCCAGCAATGTTTTAGCCGATGAATCTGTAGCCTTGCCAACTGGGCCGAGTTTGTTCTGCCTATCAACAAGCATTTTGCCTTCTCGAATGCAGTATTCAATCGCTTTATCAAAGATCGATTTGTCCTTAAGCCCACCCCATTCAACTTTCTTGAAATTTTTTAACCAATCGTCAGCGATTTTATGGTCGCGGTTGGCTTGTGAGATCCTATTGCGTTGGGGAATTGATTGAAAAGGCTTGGAAAGTCCAATTTCCAGCAGCAACGTCCCAATAGCCAAAATCCGGGGATGCTGGTGAACTAGCCTTGCGTCATCTACAAAATCTTCTTCTGGGTCGTCCCTCGTTCCAAATGGGAATATCAAGTATGGTCGCAAGAATATCTCATCATTCTCTTCCGTAGGAGGCATGAACCAAATCTTATCGCTCGTCCACTTGATACGCATCAAGTCTGAGTCGTAGAAGTGATGATAAGCCTGCGCAATGGTGTATGCTAGTATGATTTTATCTTTGGGTAGTAGTTGGAATTCGCGTAGCACATCAGCAAGGCTTTCTCCACGCCCAGGCCCAGGCTCAGTTTCGAGTTTTTTGTTCCTGTGGAATTGGAACTGGCTTTTGGATGGATCAAAGCCAATCTCTACACGGGCGTAGTGCGGCGTATCCACTAGATTGCAAAATGCCGGCTGAGGAGTTGCATTTTCTTCAATAACTGTGCTATCCTCTGGCTCTCTTATAAGCCGTTAGCGAGTACAAATGGTCGTGCAAAGAATGCGAAGGCTTACATTGTCAAATGGAAATCTTGCCAGTGAGCCATCTGCATTGGAGATATAAGAAGGCTCATGGAGGGAAAGTCATGCTCCTCTTCGATCAAGCATACTCTTGTGGGATGCCATGCCTGGCCTAGATGATCATTTTGACCGGTGGGCTTCCTCGGATCGCATTTGATGTGCAGTTCAAGCGCGTTAAATAAATCCTTGCTAAAATCAACCAGTTGGTTTTTTGAGCCCGAGTTGTAGTTGGCTGGCACGCTGCCGCCATCATCATGACCATTGTCCATCAGTTTATAAAGGCGAGAGCAATTATTGTCAATAATATCTATGAGGTGCTCATTATCCGGGGCTTGGAAGAAGGCTATAATGGACTTTTTCTTCAACTGGTCGGTGGTATGGGCTTGTTTCCTGAAAAGGGCCTGAATACCATGGAGAGGGCCATTCGAGCGCCAACGTTGAGCCCACTAACTTCTCCGTAAATAAGGCTCTTCAGTTATATAGATATATCAATAGAAAGATACACATACCTTATCCATGGAAACAAAATTATCTAAAAGGGTTTGACATAGCTCGTCAACTTCAGGCTCGATCCAATAGACTGGAATCGACTTGAGGGCGTGATCAGTCAGGGCCAGGTTTGTAGCAATCTGCATTGCAATACGCCGGCGTGCTGGAGGAAAGCTCCTCTCTTTAAGGCCATCATTAAGGGCTCTGAAGATGGGGATCGCCAGAGCCAAAAAGCAATCACGGTTGTTCAAGTAAAGATCCATGCTGTCTTCATACACTTGAAGCTTGCGAAGACAGACCCTTTGGGCATATTCTGTAGGAAGCGGAAATATAGTACCCCGCTCGACCGTGAAATTTTTGGTCAATGAAGCATTGATGCCCAATTCTGGAACGTGGTGCAACTCCCAGCCTCGTTCCTCATTCCCCCGCCTCAAATGCATAGGGTACATATGAGAGTACATATGCAGGTAAATGCCTCGTGACATTTAATAAGAACATCTTTTCAGATTAATCTGTGTCTCTACTTCTTTGATATTCTTTGCAAACGGGTTGATTCAGTATTGGTAGCACCGGAGTTGCTCTCCCCATTAACGAAGGATACCAGTTCTCACGATATCCATCATGTCAGTCTCAAGTCTCACACAACAATGCCTCGACAAGATTCATCAGGCAATGAGCCAGAAAAATGAATCAGATCATCAAGATCACCTGGAAAACAGACTTGCAGGCTTCAACCTGTGGGTGGATAACGTCGGAGCCCTGGCCAAGTCGGGCGCATCTCTCGACTCTAGGTTTCGATCTCGGCCTGATGACCTAGATTTAGTGAAAAATATCTTGAATCTTCTTTTAGATTTCTTAGACGAGTATAAAGATGCCATCCATAACGGCCTTTCAATTGATGAGCCATTGTTGGATATAGATTCCGCCATTAAAAACCTGGCGAAAATTGGAATCGCGATACGCCGAACCGGCAAAGCTTCGAGAAGTCGCAGGGCCTATCAGTCATTCAACCCTGACGAGCATCTCGATTTCAAGCGGCATCTGGAATGTTTGATCCTTCTTCGACCCAATGAAACCCAGCCTCAGCTGTCTGAACTGGGAATCTCTAGCGTTAATGAGCTTATTGATGCTGCATCAGACAAGCCAAGCGAGAAGACCGACATATTGAAAACCAAACTTGAACAATTAGCTAAATCAAGGATGGAAGATCTCGCTTCCTCGAAGCTGAACGAGATCCAAAAAAGGCTGGTTGACGCCAACCTCAGACGCAGACATAACTTTTTGTTAGCTCAAAAGAGGTCCCAGCGTGTCAAAAAAACGGCACAAACCAGTTTTACCCCAGATAAGCATCAGTTCGACATTGCTCCTCTTGAAATCGCAAAAGTCACACTCAGGGCCAAGGTGATAGACCAAGCCAATGTTCTTGCATCCATGGAACCTAAAGACGTGCCAACACAAATTGTCCAAAACACAGCAGCGCCTACTGTGACTGGCTATACAATAGCATCAACAGCTGAGGGGACTTTGCAGTTCGATCTAGCCAAAAGTCAGCAACCCGCACCAACCGTTGCTCCCTCACAGATCTCATTCATTGCTGCCAACACTGAGTTTCCGAGGCCTCCGCCGTCCTTTCAAAGTCAATTCATGTTTAAATGTCCCTGTTGTTGTCAATCTCTGCCTAGTGAGGACTTTGCAAGTCCTAGTAGATGGAGGTAAGACAATTCTTCTTGCATATTCATTAATCAACCAGACGAGATATCTCACATCTTTCGGATAGGCAACATCTTATCGAAGACCTATGTCCATACACTTGTATCGCACAGTCGTGCCCAACGCCGGATAAGCTTTTCACCACTAGAAAAGCATGGGAACTCCATTTTGAGAATGATCATTCACCTCAATGGCAGTGTCTGTTATGCAACGAAGATGATGAGCCGTTTTCATCAGAAGAAGATATAACTACACACACACAGACTCAACACAAACAAGAGTTGTCAAAATACGAGCTCTCGTTTCTTCTCTCCTCTGCTGAGGTGCGATATATGGGACTCGAAGCGTGTCCGCTGTGCTCATCACACGGACCACGAGACTCGACAGAGTTGGTTGACCACGTGGTGCATCATGCTTATGAATTTGCTCTTCGTGCTCTTCCATGGCCCCAATCTGTAAAAGAAAATCTTAGCAAGCCGATAGGAACGTTTTCTCTACCAGAGGATGCTTCAAACTCTAAGCAGCTTGAGAAATGGCTTGACAATTTAGAAGGGTCTGCGAAAGAGCTCTCTATATCTTCGTTTGACAAAATGGACCACTCACTGCCGGAAGAAGATGGTAACACCCTTGAGGAAGACTATTTTGCAAACAACGGCTACTTTGAAGACAGGGAAATGGCAGATTTCTCCAAACGTCAAACTGCACAAGGACGGTCTTCAATAGTATGGAGCGAGTCATCGGGCCCAGATCTCGCTAATCAAGATGGTGTGAACGATCCTACACAAGCTGAAATGGATCTTTCTGCAGCCGTGTCACGAGGAGACGAGGATGCCGTTCGCTCTATGATTGAAGATTGCCAAACGTTTGATAGTGGCGGCAAAATAAGAAAAAGAGCATTAATGGCTGCCGTCCAGGGAGGGAACATAGCAATTGTCAAACAGCTCCTCAGAAGCGGCATTGATATAGATTCATCAGATGAATACGGCCGAACAGCACTATTCTTTGCTGTTGAACGAAATGACATACCAATGGTGCGACATCTTATCGAGTCGGGTAGTGATGTCGATAACAAGGATCACGGGGACTTGACACCACTCCAAAGAATCATTCAAGGGGGCAATGAGATAAATATCAGCGCGCTATTTACTCCAAAAATCTACCAAAGATTCACAGATGATCAAAGCCAGACGCTACTTACGTGGGCAGAAGACAAAGGCCACCTATTTGCGGCTCGGATCCTAACAGAATTGCGGGAAAAGCACGAGTCGATGCTGAGTCTTGCACAGGAAACTTTCAACATCGAAGATCGCGCTGCAGCGGCACAAACTGTAATACTAGGCAATAACTGGTATGCTCTTATCGATCCTGCGTTAGAGCCTCTGTATTTTGACTTTATGAATACTTTGCCGTACAAGGACTTCGTTACTAAGCTCGCTTTCAGCTATAACGGGAAATATATTGCGACTGGAGACAGCATGGGGATTGTACGGATTTTCGGCGTTGAGACAGTACAAGAAGTATTTCAAGTGGACCTGGGGACAGCTATCAGGGATATCTGTTTTAGCCCTGATGGGCGATCTTTAGCCACTGCATCCCGTAACCTCATTAAGGTATTTAAGTCATCAATCGGACCACCAGTCAAAATACTAACGCAATATAAAATTTAGGTGTTCGATATTAATACAAAAACCGTTCAACACACTTTTATGCACGACAGCCGTGTCTATGCGCTTGATACTTCATATGATGGTCGTTTACTCGCATCCGGCGATTCCCGGGGTATTGTTCGCATTTGGGATATGGACCAGGGAGTTGAAATTAAGAAATTTACTACAAGGAAGACAATATCCAGCATTAAGATATTTCCGGACAGCCATTTTGTAGCCGCCAGCTGTGAAGAGGGCGGTGATGTTTATATTTGGAATTTGAAGACGGATGCCTTACAGGAGAGGATATCTGATGATAGAGATGACGTGATGTCCACATTTTTCTCTTCGGATGGAAAGCATATGGCTACTGGGAATCGTCGTTCCATTAAATTATGGGATCAAGACACGGGCAAATGCCTTTTCTCCATGGCTGGGTCGTTGGTTAAGTCAGTGTTTCTGACGCCAGGCGATAGGTGGATTGCGGCTGCCCATGCCAACGGGTCGGTCCAGTTCTGGGATTGGACAACAAAAAAGTGTCACTACCTAATACACGAGCGAGGAAGAATTAAATGCATGGCGGTCAGTCCCCTGGGCGGTTATTTTGCAACGGGTTCTCTTTCCGGAACTATGTGCATATGGTCATACGGCCCGCGCAGGCAGACATAGAGGGGAAGACTCAGATATTACTATAGATACCACAGGTACTATGAGATTATCAAGACGTTACGGATGCCAATATAGATGATAAAGACATTCTTCAATTGGCTTGAATCCCTGCAACATTGTAGTCGGGCAGAGAGCTCTTATATATACCATTTACTACTAGTCCGCTGCGTTCGGCTTGTACAAGTACCTTTGTTCACGGTTACTGCTCTTTTTCAGCAATATGAAAGCAAGCAAAACAAAGGGATTTCTTGTTTCCCGGACATTACAGGATGAATCTACCCCGCTTGATCATTGTACCTTGATGGTTAATGCTGAAAGAACTGATGACAAAATGTGAACAAAGGTGTAACCCCAGCCTTTGTTCTCATCCTCCTTCCCCTACACACAGATAGGTATATAAAGGCCTAGATGCTGAATGCCATCCAACCTTGCTGAGCACATCTCAATCGTCTTCTTCAACTCGGCCTTATAAAACATTCCGACGTTTTCTTATAATTCTTCTCCTCTTTCTTCTTTTTAACAATACGTTTTAATCCACGTTTGACATCAGAGACATATATAACCTCGTTCTTGATCAATCAGAGCATATCAGTTCTCACCATGTCCAACGCTCAGACCGTTTCTGATCTTTCGCAGCAATGCTTCGATCACATTCCTCGGGCTAAAGAGCAAGAATGTCCAGAGGGGCCCCAGATCCTAACAGGATTGCCGGAAAAGCATGACTCGATGCCAGGTCGTTGTTTACAGGAAACTGTCGGCATCGAAGATTGCGCCGCTGCAGCGGCACAAACTGTAATACAAGGCAGCGGCTTGCGTGCTTTTATTAACCCTCTGTTAGAGCCTCTATGTTTCGGCCTCGTGGACACTTTGCCGCAAGTAGTTACAACTTACAGAATCGCTTATAGCCATGACGGAAAGTATATTGCAACTGGCGACGACATAGGAAACGCCTATGTTTTCGACGCTGCAAACAAACGTATCGTGTTCCAAAAAGGCCGGGAGGTAAAAACCCTCATACCTTCTCCCGTTTGTTTTACCCCCGATGGGCAATCTTTCATCTTTGCGTCCGGCGGACTCGTCCAGGTAAGCAAGGCCCATCGATCCAATCACCAATTCGAAATACTAACGCTGCATCAAAAAAAATCGAGGTGTGTGATATTGCAACAAAAACTGTTCGACGCTCTCTTGATCATAAATCGGGTGTCTCTGCAGTCGACGTCTCAAATGATTGCCGTTTGCTCGCATCCGGCGATTTCTGCGGCACGGTTCACATTTGGGATTTGGAACAAGGAGTCAAAACCAAGGAATTGGCAGGTGACGGCTATATATACGAAGTCAAGATATCTCCAGACAGCTGTTTTGCAGCCGCGACTTGCGACGATGGCTATGCTTATATCTGGAACTTGAAGACGGGGGACTCTGATGCCAAATTCCACCACGGGAAAAGGGTCAGGTCAGTAGCTCTCTCTTCGGATGGCAAGTTCTTGGTTACTGGAGGAGATTCCGGCTTCAAAGTATGGGATCGAGACACTGGCGCGTGCCGTTCATACTCTGAAGCTCCTGGATCTGCGTTGACTGCATTGTCAATGACGCCGGACGACAGGTGGATTGTAACCGCCTCCAACCGCGGGTCAATCCGGTTCTGGGATCGGACAACGGGGAAGAGTCACTGCATAGTGGATGCACACAAGCAAACGATTTACTCAATGGCGTTCAAACCGCGAGGTGGCTATTTTGCGACAGTTTCCGGGGACGAGACGGTGCGCATATCGTCATACGGCCCGCGCAGCTAGACATAGAATGGAGGAGTACTAGGTAGTATTGATCTGTATGGTAGACGCAATAGATGCTATGAAATTGACTCGTAAGAGTATCTCCTGGAGTTAGTTGACAGTTCTTTCAGTACTCTTCAAGGGGTTACCAGAGGCTTTGAAAGCATATGTAGCCTTGAAGATTTCAGTTGCAAAACATGCTAGGTAATCAGACAAATGGTAAAGACATTCCCCCAAGTCATCATTCATTCAACCAAAAAGAACAGCTGCTAGTGGTATCTTCCAAAAAAAAGTAGGTATACACAAAAGATAGTCGGCACAAAACCAATCTACCAACCAACACCAAACAACTCCACCCATCATAAGAAAAAAGAAACGCTATTTTCATATCACAAATGCCGTTCAAAACTCGTAAAAAAAAAACCATCGAGAAGCTCTCCCCCTTATATATCAGGCAGCGTCCGAGTCTCATCCTGCATTATCTCGTCGCCTCCCAGCTCCTTTTCCAGCTCGTCGGCTACAAAGCCCTCGTAGTCGTCCAAGCTCTTTTGCACGTGAATCTTGAACTTGATCACGTCGTTTAGCATGCGATCAATCTCTGTGTGTAGCTCTTCTCGCAGCGAATTGGCCCGCAATACAAGCTGCTCATATCTAGAGGTGGTAAAATATGTTAGCCATCCTGATCTGCCCAAGAAGTTGTGGTCGAGTTTCGGGTCATGCGGAAACTTACTCTATGGTCGTGTTGATCTCGCGTTGCTCTAGCAGCTGCACAGACTCTGTCAGGCCGGCTCGCATTCTGGAGAGTTCCTTTTCCATCTTTTCGATTTGTGCGTCGGATCCCATCTTCTGCGCCGTAGCAACCTCTTTCGTCTTTTCATACTCCTCTTCTGCAGCCCTGACCCTGTGATTCAAGGCTTCAACCTCGTTCCGCTTGTCCTCAATGGCCTCCTTAATGCCATCCAAGAGCTCGTGGTCTTTCATCATATCGTCCATTACAACGCTTCGTCGCTCTGCAATCTCCTTTCGCAAAGCTATGAAGCTGCCGCGGACTTGGCCCCTGAGATCTAGGTTAAGGACGTGTCCTGGTTGATAGCCGGTTGTGGCATCAACCAATAGTCGGTCTGTCGCCGGGGTATGTGTTGTGCTGGAGCTCTTCCAGTTGGATGAATTCAGCTCGTTTTCGTTGAGGATAACCTGCAGCTCGTAGTCCCTGCCTTTAGCATTGGCTGCGGTAGCTGGTATGAGGGCTATTTGGTAGGCAATGGTGTTGTACTTGTCCACCACGCGCTCCAGCTCATCAAGCTTCCGGCTGGCCTCGGCCTCCTTTTCCATGACTTTTTTCTTAATCTCTTCCAAGCGCTGTCCGGCCGACTCGATACCCCTTTGCAGACGCTCCCGTTCAGAAGTCATGCGGTCAATATCCTGCATGCTAATGCCCTGGGCGTCAACAGCTCTTTGGAGTCCTCTTCGTTCCTCGTCGGCTTCTTTCAGCTCTTCTACAACTTTGTTTAGCTCCTCTTGTAACACTTGGATACGGGCTTCGTATTTTTCTGATCGCTGAACGGCGAGCTCGTTGTAGTCTTCAAACTTGATGCGGTCCTCTTCCATGATTTTGAAATGGTTATCCAAGACGGCAGGGTCCGGGGTGGACTTTTCAAGATCCTCGATTTCCTTGGACAATCTCTCGTTCTCGGCCTCGAGCATCTCAAGCTCGGCCGTGTACTTTGAGTTGGACTCTTCAAACGCCCTTGCCATGGCCTCAACGTGGGGAGCCAGTAGTCGCTCGGCATCCTCGTCGCCCATGTCGTCATCCATGGCGAGCCAGTCTCTGTATGCACTACTAAGGAAGTTGAAGATGATCTGGTCGCCACTTACATCGACGCCGACGTCGAGGCAAGCATCTATATACCGATTGCTGGCATAGCCCTCGAGCATTTGGGCCAGCTGCATCATCCAATGGAGCAGACCGAGAAAAGTACTCCAATTCTGGCCGCCCACGGCTGCAATCTGGCTTTTTGTGATGCTGCGCTCAAACGGGTATCGAAGCTGCTTAAGAATGGGCGGCACCTCTTGGTCGATATTCTTCTGGAATTTGTGACTGGGGTCGATCCGATGGTAGAGCCACTGGAACATGAAATTGAAGTCTTTCTGCGTCGGCGACTTGAGAATGTTTTGTGATAGCGAATGCTTCATTTCCATCTCAAAGTTGTTTTGCACCATGTAGTCCATCAGCTCTTGGGCGATTCGGGCTTGGAAGGATCGGTCTCTCAGCGGCCGCGGATCGCGAGGGACGCCGGCTGCCTGGGGCGTGGTCTGGAAAAAGCTCTGGTGGCTCACGGGGCCGACTGTGGATTGCCGTGGACGGTATACGCTGCTCCGTCTATCGCTATCCGTTGACGGCCTCGCAGCCAACGGGGTAAAGGCGCCCGGGTTGTATGTTGCTCTGGGCTGCTGAAAAGAAGTTCGCTTGATAGAGGACAGGCCAATGTCGCCCAGGTTTGCGCCGGACGATGCGCGTTGGAACATTGGCTGGTTCGGGCGCGTCACAGCCAGGGAGTGCCTAGATCCCGACATGGAGCGGCCGTGGGCGGTGCCGTAGGTGGAGGGTCCCTGATTCTGGCGCTTCATTGTCGACCCTGGCGCCGGGATGCCGCTATTTGTACTGAGGCCGCCGAGCGTCTACAGCGTCGGTCAGCGGACGATGCGACGATGTTCCAGATTTCCCACTCTTGCGACAAAGGGAACCTACCTCTCTTTTCCTGCGGACGCTCCACAGGCCCGTGTCTTGAGACATTATAGGCGGTCGGGCCTCTGCTGTTGGTGATGCGACGGTATTCGAGCAGCTAGGAGGCGAGTCGCAGTGCGTTTAGCGATCAATTTCGGGGGAAAGACACACGAGATCAAAACTCGACAAGGCGGGCTGCGTATCCTGAAGCTTTGAAGCAGTTCTTTCGTGGGGCCACGGGATTGGGGGGAAAAGATAAGGCAGTTGCTCGGTGAGAAAGTAAACAAATGCCTGATTGGCCCAGTGCGGCCTAGCGCGAATGACCTGACACGCATGCGCACGTGATTGCAGAGTTGTCTGGAGAGTACCTGCAAATGGGGCCAATTTACTGCGCGCAGCCCGGTAGCCAATAACAGGAGCGAGTACGTACCGTTGCCTCGGCCCAGCATGTTTTCGGTACGTACTGTACTTTGCGACCGCGCTCAGCTCAGCCCAGCCCAGCCATGCCGGTTCCACAATTACCGAGCTTCAACATACTCGGACAGTCGCATCTGCCTTCTTCCTCTCCTTCATTCTCATTGTCGACATCCATCGTGATTCCCCTGAAGCTGCGTCTTTCAGTTGATTCAGGTGATTCTCTGAGGCGCCGAGGCTCTGAGTGAGCATCCCGATCCATCATCATGGCGATACGCGAGGAAATCGTGGCGTCTGCAGTAAGTGATGCGTTCCATCTCCTTGTCCTTGTGATTGACAATCATGGGTTCATCTCTTGGCTGACTGTCGAATTCCCAGGCGCAATGTTAGTTTCGACTCGATTCATCGATCACTTTCACTTCCACCTTCGCAATGTTAACAATAAAGCAGTTCTACAAGATCCCAGCGTTGCCACCTCGTCCGTCGAGAACAAAATCTCGTTTCTTCGAACCAAGAATCTGACACAGGAGGAGATTGATGCCGCCATTGCCAGAGCTGGGGGTGGCACCGGCGCGGTAGCTCCTAGGGCTCCCTATGCTGGCGCGCCCCAGGGTCCTCCTCAGGGTCCTCCTCAGCAGTATTACCAATCCTACCCCCAGTATGCGTGGCAGCCGCCTGCGTCAACACAACGGGATTGGAGAGATTGGTTCATCATGGCAACCGTGGTTGGAGGAGTCAGCTATGGTCTGTACTCACTGGGCAAGGTAAAAAGAATCCTACGCGCGTCTTTCACTACAGCGATACTGACATGAATCACAGCGTTATGTCTACCCCCTCGTAGCGCCACCTACCCCTGAAAAGCTGGAGCAGGACAAGAAGTCGATCGAGGAGCAGTTTGACAAGGCCTTTTCCCTGGTTGAGCAGCTGTCAAAGGACACAGAGGCGCTGAAGGATGCCGAGAAGCAGCGGACAGAACGATTGGATATTACCCTGGCGGACCTGGACACGATCATGACGGAGCTGAAATCAGCAAACAAGCGCCGGGAAGACGACGCGCAGCGCATTCGCGACGAAGTACAGAGCCTTAAGGACGCCATCCCAAGGGCAATGAACAACCAAAAGGAGCTCACCGACAACCGACTTGCCGAAATCAACACTGAACTTGCCAGCCTCAAGACTCTTGTGTCACAGAGGATGAATGCTAACTCAAATAACTCTATGTCGAGCGGCTACTTCCGAGGCAACAATGGAGTCAACGGTGTCAACGGATCGAATGGCGTCAACGGAACTAGCGGGGCGGCTTCACCCACGACAGCACCCGGCCAATCAGTAACTCCCCCGCCCATCGACAGCGCTGCGGAAGCGAGCGGCACTCCCAAGCCTGATGCTGGCAAGGGCCCGGCTCAGAACAGATTTAACAGAGCGTCTGGCCTGTCCGTTGGCTCCGGAGCCAAGGCGTCAATCCCAGCATGGCAGATGGCCATGGCCAACCAGAATGCCGGATCAGCTGGTTCCTCGTCGGGCAAGGAGCCCGAAAAGGCCACCACCGAGGCCGCGGCCAGCAGCTCGTAAATAATTGCTTGCTTGACTTGAGATTCTCCATGCATTGTACGATTTTGATCAACTTGCGGTTATTGTTGCGCTACGTACGTACGGATAAAGGGACAATGCAGACATCGATTGGATAACGGCCGGAGCGTTGGTTGCTCTGTCAAAGTTTTTTATGTATTTAATATCAAATGGACCACATATACTGTTTTATCTATTTCCCGGTTCGGTTTCATGTTATTATTATTATTAGAAGAAGAAAAAGAAGAAGCTACCTACATACCTATGCTATCATGACTGCATGGTGGTTGTATTAAGACTGCCCGAGTGAGATGAAAGAGGCGGGCCGAGGTTCGGGCTTATTGTCCCTCCCGCCTGCGCTCACTAATGCAGCGCTAACTGAAGCCGTCCGTTTTCCATCCCTGTTCCCAGATCGATCTGTCTGTACATGTAAGTACTTGTGCTTGCGGGATGCTTGATTTGAGCAGCCGGATTCAATTCGATGCTACCTCTCGCAAGCATTGCCCCAGATACAGCAGACTAACTAAACTGATATGGAGGGTTGGTTCTTTGTATCTCTTTATCTTTTTATCTACTCCCGCCACCAACGCGGCGAATCAACCGTGC